GCACCTACATGTGTAGAATTTAGCATATTTTTAGGCCTTAATATGAAATGTTAACCTTTCCACTCACCTCCTGGTTTGGTATTATAGTTTTTTAACATTCAAAATACTGTCAGTGCATTTGTTGTCGCCTCTGTTAAATAAAAGGCACACACGTTAGGAAATAATCATAATAGCCTAATGAGAACTTAACAGAAAGCTGTAGTTGTGTGAAACAGATACCAAACTTTCATTGAATTTACAAAATTCCATGACTTTTCCAGGCCTCAAAAATAACATTTTCTGTTTCCATTACTTTTCCAGAATTTCCACGATCATGGGAATAATGAATTATATTTCCATGGAGACAAGAAGGTGACGAACTGATCACTAGAAATGTTGTATAATGCCTCAGTCAAGGTCCTGTATTACACAAATTTTACTTTAGTGAGCTTTAAGCCATGTTATAATGCTGTTACCTCATCAGAACATACTTTTTTCATTCACACATATTTGAGAAACCCTTTATTATCTGTCTGCATACACATGTGAAGCTCAGAATGCTCTGTTCCGTCTTGTGATGTGGAGGTTTTCAAGTTAACAGCTACCTTTTACCTTTTGTTTAGTACAGATATGAAATTTCAGGGTTGAAATGATCCAAAATGATTCTAGTGAAGGTGTATGGAGTTTAAAAACACAGTGGAGCACTTCCTGTATTACCTGTTTAAAGTGTCTGTTTTCTGTCTGAGAGAAGAACTCAGCCTAAATATGCAGGGTTTGTGTGTTAAACCTGTGAATGAAACCAAACACATCTCCAGGTTTGTGTGTGATGAGAAAACATTATAACAATAGTGTAATATTGACTTTTAAAATGATCAGTAAAAATTCAAACATGTCTCCTCCTTCCTGTTGCGTAAGAGGACTCCTGTATTTCTGAACTGTTCTCGGACACGTGATGGCGGGCTTTGCTTTTAGATTTTCTGTTCAAATCAAAACACCGCTGCAGTTATCCAGTGATCCCGGGCTGGTACGTCCATGTTTGAACGGAGTTTGTGAAGTCTGGTGGGATTTGGGGAACAGATGGAACGAATTTGATTAGCTAGAAGGTTTTGTTTTCATACGTGGAGCCAGAAGTTAGCTTAAGTGCACGGTGAAGGAATTTGAAAGCGGTAGAAATAAAAGGAGTTGAAGTTGGTGGTGGTGAACCTTAATGCCTGTGCTCCCGGGATGTGAGTATGTGATTCCAAGGTGGGGTTTGGCTTTGATGATGCACAGAGGGGGGCACGGTGGACGGGACGGGGGGGTGGGGTTTAATAAGGAAAGACGGCGAGGCCAAAGAAAGCACGAGCTCAAACGGACACTGGTGGCCTCCTCTGAGCCTAAAACATGCTGGAAAACATGTTTTCAATCCAGTGCCATGTTCTCACCGAGCATGCTGAGACACACACTTGCACTTACGCCCACTTACTAGCTTCCTAAATATGGAATCTATTTTAAAGTCACCAGTTATACTAGCCAGAGTCAAACATGAATGAAAATGTGTCACGTCTTTATAGATTTATAGATTTATTGTTCCAAGTTTCGGGGGTTTAAAGGCACATCACAGCTGAATGAAAGAATAAGAAGATGCAGTGGTCAGTTGTCTGGCCACTAGGGATAACTGAAACTGAAATATTGTGATATCATATCATCAAAAGTCTCACAATAATATCATTGGCAGCCACAATATATCAAATTACAAGTTCCTTTGCTTAAATGCATTGTTTTACAGTAGCAACAGCTTATAAACATCAGAAATTACATATCCCATGATTCATCTGAGAGCAAACGACATGAGATATGCTTTTTACTTCATTTTAATTCTTGGGATTATGATGGAAATAATTCATACCAAAATCTTGTCGAAGTATTTTAAAAGCAAAAAAGTGTCCTATCTACAATTATATCAGCCTCTCCAAAATATCACAGTAAATATTATACCATGAGACGCATATCGTGATATCATACCAAGAGAGTTGGATATCGTTACATCTCTACTGTCCACTGATCCAAATGTTGGCAGTTCGAATCCCACTCACATAAAACTAGACATTCCAGCTCCCACAGGTGAATGCTGTTGTTACTTAACCCACCTCCCAGCTCGTGTCTGTATGTGTATGAATGTGCGTCTGAATCATAGATGTATATGATGTATAAAAACGTGGACTAAGCAAGTGTGACGTCATCCATAGTGTTTAGCTCCGCTCAAATGAAGCTCGCGATGCTATTGGTTACAGGATGTTATGAATAGAATTTTTTTTGAAGGACAAAAATGCGAGAAAAAAAAAATCAGGATCATGTAGAGCGGGTTAATACGAACATTTTAAGACCAAAATGACAAGGCTCACTGCAGCAGTTACAGAGAGAGGGATGACAAGATCCTAATGTAAGTCAATTGGAGCCAGGGTCAGACGGAGCCGGAAGAGCCTCCTGGCGAACTTCCTACTCGGCACACGGCAGCTACTATGATAGCTATGTCGTCTATGGTCTGAATGGGTGAGTGGTTCCTTGTGGTAAAGTGCTTGGAGTACACTGAAGGTGGGAAAATGCTATATAAAAATGTGACTATTAATAACAATAAAATGGCCCTTAACCCAATGGCCTTCTTTCAGGCCAAATAAGAGCCAGGTTTGTGGAGATTCAAGCCCACTCAGTGCAATAAACACAACCAAACTGAAAAATAAATGTGATTATATTTTCATCTATATAATACATACTGTGGCTTTAAAAGTCATATGTTACGCAAAATTGACTCCTGTGAGCTTTAAGCCATGTTATAAAGCTGTCACCTCCTCAAAAACAAACCTGACACTGTGTTTTCTTTCATTCACACCATTTATTATTAATTTGTCTGCATCTCCAAAGCTCGGACTGCTCTGGTCCACCTTGTGATGTCATGCAGTGGTAGTTTTCAAGTTAACAGCTGCCTTTTATCTTTAGTTCAGTAGAGATTGGCAATTTCAGATGTGAAATCATCCAAATGATTTGGATGGAACTCTTCCTGTATCACCACATGACATCACAAGATGGAACATTTGTAACATTTCCATTTAAGAGAAGAACAGCCTAAATATGCAGGGTTTGCATGTTAAACATGTGTGAATGAAACAAAACACAACTCCGGGGATGTTTGTGGGGAGGAAACAACATTATAACATAGATCAGAAAACATCGTCATAGGTTGAAAGAAAAGTAAAAACATATTGGTGCAGTGTAGTGCTTTGTTTTACATGTTGAAAGGCCCTCACTGAAATCCTTGTCACAACACTCAGACATGCTATGGGTTAATTTGATTATACTTGGGTCACAAAAGAACCCCTCTGGACATCCCCCAGTGTTTTCTAGTTCTGTAAGTCTTTTCTTCAAATGGTGCTTTGTCCCTTGTGGATGAGTAGATGACAAAGTTGAGTCTAGATCTTTGGGCGCTTTGTGGAACTTTCATGAGAACAGTACTAGTATACATTATATAACATTACTATAGAGCAGTGTTTCTCAGACTGTGGCTCCCCCAGGTGGTAGCACTTGGACAGTTTGTAGATTTGCCTAATTTAAAGTTCATTTTATCCACATTTTGGTCCTCCTATATCAGAGGTGGGCAATTATTTTTTTCCATTGGGCCATAAGAGAAACAGAAAAGACTGTGGAGGGCTGGGCCAAAATACTTAACTCAATTCTGCATAATATTAAATGTATTTTTTTCTATATATTATTGTTTTGACAACCTGGTAAGACTGGTAAGAGTATATGTTATGAAAAGTAAGCTTGCCTTACAGAGCATTTTGAGCTTTGGAGAAGTAAAAAGAGTAATAATAATAATAATGATAAAGCATATAATAAACAATAAACAAAACACAACAATAGGTGAGTTTTGTGATAAGGTAGCAACAATTTAACACAACTTAAAGCTCATAAAAGCTCATTTAATGTAATATAGGACCTTTAAGACAAAAGTCATTCATCTGAATTTGGAAGAAAAGAATCTACAGCTCGATTTTGAATTGCACATGAATAATGGGTGTCCTATTGGAAAAGCGCTCCACTATGGGCCTAGTTTATTTTTTAGAGAATAGCACCACCTGCTGTTGGAAGAAAATACTGCAAGAGGCTCCTAATGTAAAATAAAGACTCAATTTCTCCATAACTAAATCCATGTTTAGCTATGTGTTGTTAATTAACAAAATGTAATGTGACAGGTAGCTTTGACAAACAGTTTTAATCTCCTTGCAGCTCTTTTTTAAAGTTCTTTAAAATAGGTCCAAGTAAGGCAGAATAATAATGAAATGGTGATTATTGACTGAGACTGTGTACAATGTAATGGGAAAATTAAAAGCCGTTTCATCTGTAAGAAAAATCCCTAATTGTTTCTTGTTAACTTCTCCACAAATTGTCATTTATCTGATATAAAATTTTTAATATTTACCACAGGTACAATAAACCAAGTAATAATAAGAAAAACATGAAAGCTTGTCATTTGCACTTAAAGGTTTAAAGGTCTACATTATAATGTTGTTAAAAACATAACTGAAGTGTTTAACACACACAAATCCTGCAAATTTAAGATGAGTACTTCTCTCAAACAAAAAACACACCACCCTGTGATGTCATGTGGTAATACAGGAACTGCACCACTGTTTTTAAACTCCATAAAACTTCACTAGAATCATGTACATAATTTCAGCCCTGGTAGGTAGCTGTCAATTTAAAAACTATTACCACATGACACCACAAGATGGAACAGAGCATTCTGAGCTTTCAGGATTACTCAAATGTGTGTGAATAAAACAAAACACAACTCCAGGTATGTTTCTGAGGAGGTAACAGTGGTATAACGTGGCTTAAAGCTCATGAGTCCATTGTGCGTAATATAGGACCTTTAAACAACTTGTCCAATATTTGAATGTCCATATCTTGTAATGTTCATCTACTATTCTAATACTGAGCCACAAAAGATTAAGTTCAAGAAAACACTCAAGCAACTTCAAAAATGTTAAAAGTACAGCTTTAATTCTCAAATTAAATCTGATTGTCAGTTTTCCAGTCATATACACAACTGGGGAGAGCCAAGTAATACCTCAAAAACATGACGTTGAATCATCGACTTAGCCCTTGTCAAAACACAGTTTCAGACGAAAAAAGATAAGAAACAGAAAAATTTTAAGTACAATGACAAATACATAAACACCAGAAAAAGACATTACAAAGAATACAAAAGTAGTAACATATCTCCTGAAGTCCTGAGAAGAGGTAGCCATGTGAAGGTCAGGTAGAGAAAAACAACATTGAAGATGAACACAAAGCCAAAATCTGTGTTTAAGTGAGATAACCCTTTGTTTTTTAACACTAGCAAGAATTATCATATAAAACTAGACTTAACACGTCTCCTCAATAACTACACGAATGAACTATGCAATAAGACTTTTATTGCAAGCACTCAGTGAATATTTGGTCCATTGTCATTTGTGTTTGGAGCCCCTTATAAACTGAACCAAGTCAATAAAGCATGTTAGAGAGCATAGACTGTATATAAATGGAGATAGCTAAAACACTAGGCGCTGCATTCCAAACAGGAAGTGAACATAGGGGTGCTTCCGGCTCCACTCAGTTTCCAATTGACCTAATGTTGAAAAATTGTCAGCCCTCTGTCTGTAACTGCTGCTATCAGGCTTCTCATGTTGGTCTTAAAATGTCTGTATTAACCTGCTCTGCATGATCCAATTATTTTCTTTTGCTATTTTGCCCGTAAATTAATTTCCTATTTCTAACATGGACCTGGCTGCAAATTCACTCCTATAACTTGTGAGCTTCATTTGACTGGAGCCAAACGCTATGGGTGACGTCACACTCACTTAGTTCACTTCTTTATACAGTCTACGACACTCCAATGGAGCATCATCCCCTCAGCTTTTATTTAAAAAACGAGTAAACTAGTAAATAATGACAAGGTAAAAAACACTTAACGCAGCAGTGCCAAAAGGCTACCACTGTAGCAGTAACATGAAACTGTACATGTACATTTACATGAATTGTAAACATATTATCAGAATTTAAAAATGCCTACGTATGAAAATGTTTTAACTAATGGTCTTTAAGTTACAGATGACATTAATGCAGGCAAGAACTTGCAAAGAGAAAAAACAAGCCATGTCCTAACTACTGAACCGTTGTTTGCTACAGAGTCAAATAAAATTGCATGTTTTGGATTATCTGAAAATCTTACATGAAGGTAGAAGCCAACATTCCCTGGTGCTCAGACATCTTCTTTAGAATTGTGCTGTTCAGATTTACCAGAGACTTGATTTGATCATCTGGATAATTTCATTCTAATAGCTTTCTTAATATAATAACATTCTTGATATAACCATGAATTAGGGCAAATTTGATTTTTTAAACTAGATTCTACCTTAAGCCTTAACTGCTCTCAGTGTTAACATTTTAAACTCCAGGGTTCTTTGTGTTTTAGCATCCTGTGAATGCAATTTTTGGGGTACATACACTTGTTTACAACGTGAAACTCAGCTAAAGAGAAAACCTTAGACATTGGTGGGACATCATGAAGTGGTCCGATTGTTAGGAGGAGGTTTTCGTTGCAATAACAGCTTCCTCACCCACAGCCTTTAAAACAGTGACCTAAAAAGAAGGAATACATAAATTGTATTACCATTTTTTTTTTTACTATATAAAATGTGTTGTATTTTAAGGCATGAGAAGTCCTCAATAATAATTTGACACTTTAATCATCATCATTATCAGTAAATACTTTGTCTCACTCCAGTCTTCCCAGAGTGGAATGTGATTCAAAATGTCTAACATAACAATGTGAGTGAATACAAATCAGTACCTACAAGTGTTGTAGAGTTTCCCATAAGAGGGCTGCATTTTTTTACCCTAGTAAAAATAGGTATGGCCCCAGTGCAGGGCTCATGCTATGGGCGTGTAGTCATGAGATTTGAATGTTGTAAAACATGAAATGTTCACATGCTAAGAAAGTGAGGAATGGGTCTGAATAATGTTTAAACCGTGGTCGTCACCATTTCAAAACTACTTTTCCACAGTTATTTTTTTTTGTTGAACAATTGGTTATCTAGGGCAGTGTAGAATTAAAAAGTGTGAAATAAACATTTTTAGTTATTACAAGAAAGTATTACGTTAAAAACAAGAATACATTTTTGTTAAAATTTAATTATTACAGGTGTAGATACATGAATATATTAAGCTCATATCCAATACAATGAATAGGAGCGAGTTACTTTATATCACTGTATATCTGTATACAATTATCATTCTGGATAAGCTGCATGGCACTCCTACTCCGCCAACATGTAGGCAGAAGCCTACTCTAATAAACAGAGTTTATTAGCACCTGAGGGGTCTGACTTTTAGATGTGCCAGTGCTGTTGGGCATGTCAGTGTGCACCTTACCCAGCGGTTGGCAGCACTGATCATAACATATTAAGTTGAAAGAGTCAGGCCTCACTCGGACTGCGCCCAGTCCAACTCAATGCAGGACCAGTCTTACTGCTGTGACACTCACATAAAGACTGGAGCTCTGCTCTGCAGTTGCAGTCACCGCAACTGAAGGCTGCACAGAGACTACGTGTTTGTGCCATAACTCTCTTGCATCCAGCAAAAATAGAATTTAACTGAACAGATCCAGAGTGCCGTGACACCTCTGCCAGCACCACCGGATTGCATGTGTGCACTCTGAGTGTATAGCAAAACTTCTAATTGTCCAGAACACATGCCAATACATGTGACTGGAGCTACAGGTCATCTGTGTGCACGTGTGTGCATGTGTCGGGAGCACACATGTGTATCTGTACACTACAGTCTCACTCGCTCCAAGACATCCCATAATACTTTATATTGTATTAAGTATTTTGCTCTGCTCAGGTATAAAACCAACATGTTTTTGGTAAGTGAGTTTGGACGAGTTTGGGTTCCACATGTGTTCAGCTCCCTGTTCTGTGGAGGACAGTGTGCATGGGGCTCTTCCCCTGCACACTGCTACAGATCATAAAGATCATGTAGACCTGCTTAAAGTGATTCACCAGTCATCATTGCATTGAAGGTTAATATGTTAAAACGAGAATCTAATGTTGTTAAATGCAAGATTTGTTAAAATTTGTAATGATTAAATTTTAACAAGAAAATTGTCTCGTTTTTTACTTAATACTATCTCATAATAATGAAAAAGCTGGTAAAATGTTCTATCCATGTTTGTCAGTTCAACCCTTCTGTAGTTACACAGTGTAACAGAGATTTTGAATCAAATTTAAAGGGGGAAGGAAAGGAATCGGGAAAAAAAAAAAATTGTGACAGAACTTACTAATAATTGTTCGTCATTTTCAAATTTCCTCAAGATTTCCTTGCCCAAGTCATCATCAGGCAATTTAAGGTCCTCTCTTTGGGTTCCATCATCTTGCAGCAGACTCAAGAAACCATCGTCAATGTCAGTGAGCTAGAAATATCACAGAAAATAACATTAGCTCAGTTTACTCATAACATAGTGTAGAAAACAAAGTTGGTCTTCATGTGCACGGAAGTGGTACAGTTTCAGAACATAAATAAGCTGTAGTCAGAAGACTCAAAATATGCAAGTGTGTCATTTTGATACTACGAGCAAAAAAATCATTCGTCATTTGTCATTAGCACAAATATAAAACAAAAAGTAAAATACCGATTACACTAGTCAACAGTGGCAGTGACAAAAATGTAGGACTAAAAGAAATAAGAAATAATAATACATATATTTTTCTACACTTGGTATGACAATAATACAGCAAAAATAGACCACTTTTATATCTCAAACATACTTAGACTTTCTATAAAAGAGTTTGTACGTATGCAATTATGTTACACAGTAGCACAGAAAAATGTAATGTACTACAAATATAGTAGTAGTACTTAAAGGAATAAAGTTCATTATACACTTGAGTGTTAAGTTAATAGTTATGGTAGCGCTTCCTCGGTCCTAATAACTGGTTTCATGTTCGACACACAAGAGCTAGGCCAAAACCTGTTCCTCCAGTTGAAAACCTGTATTTCTTTGCAGACAGTGGAGAAAGGCAGCTCATGAGTTACACCCATTGAGCAATCCTCACTTTTCTCTGCACATGACTCCCAAGTTATTCCAAATACAAAAAGGTGTAAACGATAAAACACAGGTCCAGATTTAGTAACTCTACCTGATAATCCTTCCTTGAAACATTTGGAACCTCCATGTTATGGGTGGATGGGCAGAGATCCTCAAGTTTTTTCCCAGTGAAAAGATCAAGTCCAACAAGGTGAACCTAAAAAGTACCACAAAAGCCTCTGGTCAAATTCTCAACGGGGAAACTTGTAAGTGCCAAAAATGCTCTTTAATCACTGAGTGCCCCAAGCTCAGAATTCCAAAGGCCGGCTGAAATGGTTGTACCTTAGCGTGCCCATGCTTGCCAGTCTTAGAAGTGGACATTTCAACAATCTTGCATGGACGACCCTTGAGCATAACGAATCCATTCTTCCTCAGGGCAGAGCACTGCACAGGGTACGTCTCAGAGGCCCCAGACGTGACACTTTCAAATTGGTCCATGCTAACGGACAGGAAGAAAAACACAATTAACAAGACACAAATCATGGGTTTTTATGAATTCACTGAGTTCTTCAAAAGACATTTGGTGTATCCAAATCACTCTCCTTGATTCCTCTCCTCGATTCTGTAGGAAATGGGTGAGGAAGTCCCATACAACAGAGGAGACACAGTGAGGAGAGAGGATATAAACTCCTGAGACCAATAAAGTTGAATTATTTTTATTTGATGTCTGCCTCCTGAAGCCTCCCTCATGTTTACTCTTTCATTCTGTGGTTTTCTTTGGGACACCACTTAATATGACATATTTGATTGGCAGCTGTAAAATGGAGGAGCAAGGAGACAAATCAAGGAGAAGGAAGCGAGGAAAGAGAAATGAGACGCCGCCTATATATAAAAGTGCACATGGCTAAAGAGCTAGCCGCCGCGCTCCACACAGGAAGTTGGCATGTGGGCGCTTCTGGGCTCCTACTGACCCTGGCTCCTATTGACTAATACTGGAATACTGTCACACCTTTCAATGTAACTGCTTCTATGAGCCTCATCATTTCAGTTCTGAAATGTTTGTATTAACCCTCTCCAGGCAGGCCTTGCAGATTTGCAACAGCTAAATTCCAATTACCTACTTACTCCACATCCATATTTTATGAGCTTTTTTTACTCAGGAGCCTTTTCTCCCATCCATGCTGATAAACGTGGACGATGCAGACTGTGCAAGAATGAATACATGAAAACGGCCTGCCAGAAGTGCAAAATACTTTTTTTGTTTACAAAGGATAAAAAAGTCAGGATTGTATATTACTACCCCATATTATAATTTTCCCCAAATATCAGATTTTTCCTGATACTAAAAATTAATTTGAGCCTGAGAGGGTTAACCCGCTCTACATGATCCTGTGGGGTTTAATTTGCTATTTTGTCCATAAAAAAAAAAACACCTATTGTTAATATTGAGCCTGGCTCCAAATTCGCCCCTATAACCGCAAGCCTCGATGAGGTTCATTTGACTGGGTGCCGTCACACTCCCTTCTTTATAGAGTCTATGGTCCAAATGCGCACATGTTGAGAAGATTTGTTAATGTTAATATTACGCCAAAGCTGCACTTAAACATTACAAACATTTATAAAGAATCTACTCACTTGCTCAATAGAGCTGTAGTCCACCCCCGCCCCCCCAATCACGCCCACGCACACACGCATACGCACGCACACACGCACACAATTTGGAACTTCATTAGAGAGTGGCAAAAGTGTATGAGTATCAATGGCGAGTAATTACATTTTTTCCTGTAAGAGCTCAAAACACATCTAAAATGTGAAAGAACTGCTACAGTCTAATGTAAAAGTCTAAGACAACGCAGTGTTTAGTTTGTACCTGACATTTAAAACAAGAAAATCAAGTAAGTACCAGTTACGTTTAGCGAAAACACAGTGACACTACAGGCCACGCCCACAATCCTTATTGATACACACTTAATAATCAGACACAGATCAACTGAACCTTTCCCTCTTTAAATAATACCTTTCTGAGTCCGTGTGCTGAGGAAATAATTATTGTGGAGCAAAAACATTAGCTCCGTGGACAAAAATGAGGCAAACAACAGCAAAAAAAACACATTTTGTCTGTTATACTCCCCATAGTCCTGCGTCTCAGTGCTACTCAGTCGGAATGTTGAGGAGCACTTGTCGAATAAAATGATGTCAGTGCAAACCTTTTGTTACAGGAAAACCGGATCACGTGAATTTATGTATCTACGACGCAGTAATAGGTTTTCAAAGTATCATTACGTGGCAGATGGGCCAAATGACTGAAAACATGGCCCCGTTTCTACCCACGCCCTTTCACTGTGACTAAACATTTACGGCTTTCAAACTAAAGATCCAGCTTGTCTTTATCCAAACCTGTCTTTACTAAGTTCAGACTAAAGCCCTGAAGCTGATGGCTGGTCTTGGATAGCCCTTTTCCGGCTACAGACGCCATTAAAAGTAACGCGTAAACATGAGGAAAGTCAGATGCGTCTTACCTTGCGTTGTGCGTGCGGCAGAGAGAACAGGCTAGACGCAGGCTTGGATTTATATGCAGGTAGTTTAGGAGGAGGGGTGAAGAGGTTGGAAGGCAGGTAGTGAAGTTCTGTCTCGACAAGTACAGCTCGGTGGAGGACGAGACAGGGGGGCAGATCCCGAAGAGGAGCGATGCAGCCGGAGGGAGATGAGGAGGCGAGGGGAGGGAGCGCCTCTCAGGGGGTGGGACAGGGGCAAGGCCTAGTCACTTCAACGACTAACTACCAGCTACTGAGGTAAGAGAAGATACAAGTACCAGTATTTGTCTCACAGTGGGGAAATTCCAGTGTTGCAACGCACAGTTTAAGGCAGCAAGGGCAAGAGAATAGAAACAGGCAGTCAGAAATCAAGATAATAGGCTACATACTGTGCAGTTAGTAAGTATTATTATTATTATAAGGAGTGGTGGTAGTAGTAGTAGCAGTAGTAGTAGTAGCAGTAGTAGTAGTAGCAGTAGTAGTAGTAGTAGTAGTAGTACTCAAATATACACATGGAAATTGTTGAATGTAGGGCTTAAGTAATATGGAAGTAGTAGTAGTAAGTAAGTCTTTATTTATTTATTTATATAGCGCTTTTCACAGACATATGCAACAAAGACACTTTACAGAGCATTTTTATAGATTCTGTTTTTTTTTCTCCACACCCGGTGATGGTAAGCTGCTATTGTAGCCACAGCTGCCCTGGGGCATACTGACTGAAGTGCGGCTGCCATGCCAATCAGCACCATCGGTCCCTCCGACCATCACTCACTCACACACCACGTTCATACTAGGCAATGTGGGTGAAGTGTCTTGCCTTAGGACACTATGACAGTTTTTACGACTGGCGCCCCCCTGTGGAACCTGGTTTTCCTTGCAGTCTCCCATCCAAGTACTAACTTCTGAGATCTGACAGGATCAGGCTTTGACAAGCCGGTATGGTGTAGTTGTAATAATAGTAGTAGTAGTAGTGATGGTGATGGTGGTGGTAGTAGTAGTAGTAGTAGTAGGAGTAGTAGTAGTAGTAGTAGTAGTAGTAGTAGTAGGAGTAGGAGGAGTAGTAGTAATAGCCTACAGGTGATGATTCAAGGTGACTTGAATCGTGACTTGCTCCATAACACCACAGTTCATTTGCACAAGACTTAAAGGCACATTGTGTAAGTTTTCTGATGGGGGTCTGTCAGATGCTTTTTTCTGTGGAGATGTGGAGATGTTATTGCTTTCTTTCACAGAATGACATTAAACCTTTCTTTTTTTCTTGGAGACCAAACCAGACCAAGTTACATGTCATATCTGTGGAGAGGCGACCCCACTCACAGTCAGAATGCTTGTTTTTTTCTAGGTATTTTTGAGCTATAAAACCACATGTAATTTAATAAATGAAAGAGTTCTTTAATGTCACACTGGTGAGCGTTCCAATCAGAGCAAAGAATACCCATACAAATAACCACGTGAAGGACCCGCTACCAAAAGTTATATAGTTCACCATAGTACTTCTACTTCTACTTAGTACAATAGGCCTATAAGTGAACACATTTCTATAGTCCAAACCTAAATCAGAGAACTAGTTGACTCCAATTAAATTTGATCACAGAATTCAGCTGGTAATGATTTCAATATAACAGAGACGACTTATAGATTTTATTGTAAAACATTCTTACAGGTGCACTATGTCATTTGGTTGGGGGTCTGTCACCTACTTGTTTCTATGGATATTGCTCTGCCTGAAATGTTCCACAGTATGACAATAAACAGCTCTAGGTGAGGTGGTTTTACAGCTCAAAAATACCTACAAAAACAGACCTTCTGACTGTGAGCGGGGTCGCCCCTCCATAGATTTAACTCATAACTTGGTCTGAGCCTACGTTTATATGATGATGGTCTGAACAGAGACGTTTTAGATGAGCATTTTCGGGAGGAACTCTGCGTGCATACGGTGACGCAAAAGTGTGTGGAATTTGATTGTGTACGCCTGCCAGGCGGCTAGGTGGTGACGCTAGGTGGTGATGTATGTGACGTGAACGTGTACATGACATGAGCAGATCTGACCAGAGTTTTGCGTCTTGAGCAGTGTAGACGGAAACGCTACAACGGAGTGTATTCAACTTTTTTCACTCTGGAGGATGGTTTCAGATTTTTGTATTTTTAAGCCCCAAAAACACCGTCACCCTCTAAACGAAACACACTTCCCATAAAATATTTTGAAGTGCGGCTGCCATGCCAATCAGCGCCTTCGGTCCCTCCAACCACCACCATCACTCACTCACACACCACGTTCATACTAGGCAATGTGGGTGAAGTGTCTTGTAATGAAGATAGAAAGGTTTAATGCCATACTGCAAAACATCCCAGAGCGGTGACATCTCCATGAAGAAAAGCTTTCGACGGGCTCTCCACCAGAAAAGTTACACAATGCACTATTAAACCCTGTAAATGACAAAGGTGATTGGACTGCTCCATCAGAACCTAATGAAAGTAAACATCATTAACCATAATCTAAATCAAGATTACAAGCGTCACAATTATCACAGTATTCATTGAACTCATAAAGTTAGTTGATCTTTTTTCTCTGCTCAGTTGAGGTCCAATAGGAATCCTTTGTTTACAGATGTGGCTGTAAATTCTTCAGTTTGGATTAGAAGGGGGACATGTTTTTACAATGGGAAGAGCCTCACCTGTAATCAGGACTGACATCGACCCTGAAGGGACTCAGGAGAAACAGGTTTTCAGAATACTGACATCTTATCCAAGGGCGGAGCACACAGTATCACTATCTTTACTTCAGGATCTTGTTTTAGCAAGATTCCAACTGTGAAAATGACGTCGAAGTGTCAAGTAAGAACAATTAAAGGTCCCATATTACACTATTGATTCTTGTGAGCTTTAAGCCATGTTATAAAGCTGTTACCTCATCAAAAACATACCTGGAGTTGTGTTTTGTTTCATTCACACATGTTTTAGTGATCCTTTATTATTATTCTGTCTACATCTCCAAAGCTCACAATGCACTGTTCCACCTTGTGATGTCATGAAGTGGTAGTTGACAAGTTAATAGCTTATTTTTATTTTTAGTTCAGTAGAGATTGGCAATTCCAGGGCTGAGATTATTAAAACTGATTCTAGTGAAGGTGTATGGAGTTTTTAAAAAAACGGTTGAAAACTTCCTGTATTACCATATGACATCACAGGGTGGAGCAGGTGGAATTGAACTGGACATTTAACTGTAAATAAGTTACATCAAAATGATTTCATAATAATAATTTGTGACTTACTCTCGAAATTTTACTTAAAAACACAAATAGAAATTTTTACCATTTAATATATATAGTATTTTTTTCTTGCATAATTAACAAAGCCAACAATTACCATTTCACATTACTGAGGGTAAAATCTTTGTGAAAATAATGGAATAAAATCAGTCACATTCTGTCTGTTAAAGGTGCACTGTGTAACTTTTCTGGTGGTGGGGGGGTCCACTACCTGCCTGTCTCCATGGAGATATTGCTGTTTTGCTTTGATTATTCCACAGTCTGGAAATAAACTTGGCAATCACAATGGGGACAGGTTAATGGTCAGATCTATGGAGAAGCAAGCCTGCACATGGTAAAAACTAATGTTTTTAAAGGGATTTTTGATTTTTTTAAATGTAATGTGGAGAAATGTTTAATGTTCTACTGTGGAACATTCCAGGCAAAGAAATAACATCTCCATGGAGAGAAGCAAGAGCAGACCCTCCACCTTAAGTTACATAGTGCACTTTTAATTACAGTATCTCATTGCCACATTTATATAGTTTGTAAACATCTTCCATGTAACAAATACATTCAAATCTTCAATAAATGCACAATGAAAGACTCCACAAAGCAACACTGTGTAATCTAATACATCACGAACAAACTGAGCTCTGATGTGGCCACACACACATGTAAATATTAGCCTGGTTAGCCACAGTTTTCTTGCTGTACAGAGTCCGTTTATTGGGTATTGCTAACTAGACCAGTGTTTGCCAATGCGTTTATGGTACCTACAATTTTTGTATCAGAGATTAGAGACATTGCTAATGCTTGTGTCGTAAAAATATATTTAATTTCAGACATTCTTAAATTAAAAGCTGATTTTTACTGACTAAAAATGTGAAAAACAGAATTAGTTCTTTTAAGAGGTTTGCAATGGTCGCTTCTTCCCTAATGCATTTCTATCATCCTAATTATTCCCTGCAGTAAGTTTAGAAGTGCTTTTCAGAACATTCAGAGGCCAGAACAGAGATTTGCAGTCAGAGTTATGGTTTGTGGATGATAAAACGCAGAGAGTAGATGCAGAAAACAAAAAACACAAAACTTACATGAAACAAATGAAACTTTAAAGGTCCTATATTACGCAAAACAGACTTGTGAGCTTTAAGCCATGTTAGATTTCCTAGACAAAAACCTGGAGTAACCCTTTATTATTGTCTGTCTCCATGCTCCAAGTTTTCTGTGCGTCTCAACTCTATGTATAATTGTGATGAGGAAACAAGATTATAACATAGATCAGAAAATAGTGTTATATGGGACCTTTAAGCAAATCAATAGAGGCTTTGCACCGTCACGTGACCCCTATAGCAATGGTACCTACGCCGCCATGACACCCAGCACACTATGTCATTGACTTCAGTAGCATCGGAGAAACATGGGCAGGTTTTGTTGTGTATTTGGTTGTTCTAGACGCTCTGAAAGGGATAAAATAATTCGTTTCTTCACTGTTCCTCTGGAAATGACTCATCAGGAGCTCAAACAAGGGAATTATCGGGAAAAAAAACAGGAATTATGGCTAGAGAACATAAACCACGAAGAGATTTCCTATGGTACCATCAAGACACACTCATGTCACTTTCATCAAGGTATTTGCTATTTAAATAGTTTCATAGCTTATTTAATGAGAGAAGCACATTTACTGAACTAAAATTTAAAAAGAAAACATCTGTAGTGTGAGTGGCAGTAGAAACTGTATCTTCCAACACACATATAAACATGTCACTCGTCATAGGACCCATGTTTTCTTTATTGTCTTGCTTAACCACAACTTTGTTTCTAGAATTTATCACTTTTTGCGAGCGGATCTTTCTAACATTCTCGAGGATCTTTTCATGGCTGATTCTTTCTAGGTTCGGCTCACAGACTCTTCGACTCGTGCACCATGTTGATCACAGGAGCCCAATGTGGGTTCGTTGAATCGTAAACTAGTGCGGGTTTTCCTGGATAAATTAATGTAATTTTAGTTCAGTAAATGTGCTTCTTTCATTAAATAAGCTATGAAACAATTTAAATAGCAAATACCTTGATGAAACTTCGGGTGTCTTGATGGTACAGTAGGAAATCTCTTTGCGGTTTATTTTTTCTAGCTATAATCTGTGTCTTTTTTCGATAATTCCCTTGTTTGAGCTCCTGATGAGTCATTTCCAGAGGAATAGTGAAGAAACGATTCGTTTTATCCCCTTCAGAGCATCTAGAACAACCAAATACACAACAAAACCTGCCCATGTTTCTCCAATGCTGCTGAAGTCAATGACATAGTGTGTCCGGTGTCATGGCGGTGTAGGTACCATTGCTATAGGGGTCACGTGACGGTGCAAAGCCTCTGTAATTGTATAATATGCTGATCAGTTAGCGGCTCTAAATTAGCCTCTATTCTTACATTACTGGATATTGAAAAAGCAGCTGTCTCAAAAATAAAAAAGTACTCTCAGTAATTTGATATTTGAGTCCCATTTTGGTATTGCACTCAAACCAAATAGCACCAGACTGACTTGCTCTGTGTAATACTTTTTTTTTTAAAGGTTGTGTGGCTATCCAGGCTATACAAACACAGGCACCTGCAGGATTCACGCGTCTGTGGAGGTTTTGAGCTGCTGCAGTTCTGTGTCTGTAACTGTGTCTGTCTTTTTGCGTCCCTTTTGAAAAACTGCAGAAATCTCCTCAAATGTCTTTCCTTTTGTCTCAGGGACCCGGAAATAAGTGAACAGAGTGAAGCACAACAGGAGCCCAGCAAACAGGATAAAGACATAGCTGTCCAACGCCTCCTGCAATGGGAAAGGGTAGGGTTAGTCGGCCCACAATATACACAGCTTGTGGTTTAATAATAGTTCTAGTAGTAGTAAGAGCAGGAGCAGTAGCAGTAGTAATAGTAGTACTACTCAAATGTCATACATGGAAATTGTTGAATGCCCTACATTCAACAGTTAAGTTAAGTATAAGGTGCTAAGTAATGGTTATATGGTGGTAATAGTAGTAGTAATAGTAGTAGTACTTAAATATCAAAATGGAAATTGTTGAACATAGAGGTTAAATAATATAGTATTATTTGTAGTAGTAGTAGCAATAGTAGTAGTAGGAGTAGTAGTAGTAGTGGTAGTAGTAATAGCAGTAGTAGTGGTAGCACTACTACTACTAGTAGTAGTAGTAGTAGTAGTAGTAGAAGTAGTAGTAGTAGTAGTAGTAGTAGTAGTAGTAGTAGTAGTAGTAGAAGTAGAAGTAGAAGTAGAAGTAGAAGTAGTAGTAGTAGTAGTAGCAGTAGTAGCAACAGTAGTAGTGGTGGTAGTAATAATAGCAGTAGTAGTGGTAGTAGTAGTAGTAGTAGTAGTAGAAGTAGAAGTAGTAGTAGTAGTAGCAGTAGTAACAACAGTAGTAGTGGTGGTAGTAATAATAGCAGTAGTAGTGGTAGTAGTGGTAGTAGTAGTAGTGGTAGTAGTGGTAGTAGTAGTGGTAGTAGTGGTAGTAGTAGTAGTGGTAGTAGTAATAGCAGTAGTGTTGGTAGCAGTAGTAGAAGTAGCAGTAGTGGTAGTAATAGTTGTAGTAGTAGTAGTAGTAGTAGTAGTAGTAGTAGTAGTAGTAGTAGTAGTAATAGTATTAGCAGTAGCAGTAATAGTAGTAGTAGTAGCAATAGTAGTAGTAGGAGTACTAGTAGTAGTAGCAGCAATAGTAATAGTAATAGTAATACTCAAATATCAAATATAGCATTAAAGAAAGACAAGAGAAACCTGGATGCCCTTGCAAATAGTATTATTATTGTGTAGATAATGGTGTGTTAAAAAAGCCCAAGCACTAGTGTTGGTGGAAAAATTTCAAAATGCTCTGTTCCACCTTGTGATGTCATGTAGAGGTAGTTTTCTAGTTAACAGCCACCTTTTACCTTCAGTTCAGTAGAGAGAGGCAATTCCAAGGCTGAAATTATTAAACGACTCTACTGAAGATGTACGGAGTTTAAAAACACAGTGAAGCATTTCCACATGACATCACAAGGTGGTTTTTCGTTTCAGAGAAGAAATCAACAAACAAAACAACAACAAAATATGCAGGATTTGTGTGTTAAATGTGTGAATGAACAAAGCAAAACTTCAAGAAATGTTTTTGATGAGCATTATACATACATATACAGCATTATATTATGAACATTATAATTTGAAAATAGTGTAAAATTGTCCCTTTAACAAATGACCTAACATAAGAAAATGAAATGCCGAATAATAAAGATCCAATTCAATTTAACACACACACTGAGTATATAGAACAGTTTAGGAACCTCTGTGGTGTTAAGAAGAAGTGCATTTTGGTAACGTCAACAAGCTTACATGTATACAGCCAGTGTTTTCTTACCTGTATGTACGGAAAGGTCATGCCTATGATGAAGTTGCTGGTCCAGTTGCAGCAGCCGGCCAGAGCGATGGCGGCTGGTCTGGGGCCCTGACTGAACAGTTCAGCCACAATGAACCAGGGGATGGGACCAGGGCCGATCTCAAAGAACGAAACGAAGAGGAAAATCGCCACCATGCTCATTGTACTCATCCACGTGTAGTCGTTCTACAGAGAGAGACAAAATTAAAGATTATGTAAAATCGACTTTTGCGAGCTTTAAACTCTGTTATAATGTTACCTCATCAAAAACATAGCTGGAGTTGTGTTTTTTCATTCACACATGTTTGAGAAAGGTATGTTTGTGATGAGGAAACATTATAACACAGATGAGAAAACAGCGTAGTATGAACCCTTTAAAGAAATACACAATGCAATTAGAATAAATGCTTCACATAATAAAAATTGGTCTAACCTGAAATTTGAGTCCCACTGTCATTGCAATGGCACACAAGCACATCCCACTCAAACCAGCCAAAATCAGAGTGCGCCTCCCAGCTCGGTCCACCAGCGCCACCTACAGAGACCAAAGGGAGCATTATTTACATCACAGGCATGGGTACGTTGGGATAGTCTTTTACATATATTTTTTTAATATAATTTATTCAGTATAAAGATTCAAAATTGCACTTACAGACACCAGAGTGAAAACTGTGTTGATGACTCCAACTCCAATGGTGGCATAGACGGGCTGAGCGATGCCAGCTTGTTCAAAGATGGATGTTGAGTAATAAAAGATCTTTTGAGAGAAAGAAAAACAAAAACACAAATAAGCAATTTCTTAACATTTCTTAGTTCTTATTTTATTATTGCAGGTCCCATATTACGCCACTTTCTTGTCTATGTTATAATGTTGTTTCCTCATCAAAAACAGACCTGGAGGTGAGTTTTGTTATTCACATGTTTAACACACAAACACAATTTAGGCTAAGTTCTTCTCTCACACTGAAAATACTCTGTTCTACTTTGTGATGTCATGTGATAATACGGGAAGTGCTCCACTGTGTTTTTAAACTCCATACACTTTCACGAGAATCATGTGGATAATTTCAGCCCTGGAATTGCCAATCTCTGCTGAACTAAAAGTGAAAGGTGGCTGTTAAAACTACAGCTACATGACATCACAAGGTGGAACAGAGCATTTTGATCTTTGGAGATGTCGACAGATTAATAATAAAGGGTTTATCAAACGTGTGAATGGATTAACTCTAGATATGTTTTTGATGAGGCTCACAAGTGTCAGTTTTGTGTAACATAGGACCTTTAAGTATTGCTTTTCACTTACAGCATTGATACCGGACAGCTGCTGGGAGATGTGCATCATAAGAGCAACAAACAGCTGATCTCGGTATATTGAAGAACGGATCTGGAAGAAAAAAAATAGTCATTGCCAGAAAGCCAGAAAGGTATAATGCACACAACTCTAAAAAGTAAAAAAAAAATACACTTGACTTGACCCATATTATTTGCCATTTTAATACTGATCACTACTTTGCAGCTGATGTCCTCAACTTTCCCTGAGGGGTGTGATGCTATCTGTAAGCACTGCTCTGTCTGAGGTGTGTTCGAATTTAATCTGATAACACAATCTGATGAACATAATCTGAAGAAAGTAGAAAGAAGTGGTTTAGTTGGGACTACAACAGTTGAGATGATTTGTGCTCTTAAACACGTCTCTCATACATAAAATTACTATATATGATCTAGTTTGCGTTAGATCATTTTTTCTGTCACTCTCACGTTTTTGTTGAAAATCAAGCTCAAAATCTAACTCAAACAGAACCATGAATGTGCGTATTGATCACAGGCTCCTGAAAATGTGCTGTTTAAATCCATTTTGTATTTTTTCTTGTGCGTATTGTGTCACCATGGTAACTACAGAAACATTCCACTATAGCAATACATGTAGAACAGCCCCAGCGTGATGTCACTGCAACGTATTAATAAAGTATAAATAAAAAATATATATATGTCCTTCTGAAAATTACCTAGACAAAGCCGTAACATAAGTGCTAGAAGAAAATACGTTTTTAAACCAGGACTAAACCTAGATTAAACAAATACAAATGAAAGACCAAATAAAAATTAAAAATGATTTGGTTGAGAAATTACAAATTATCTATTAATGAACTTACCAAAGACCAGATGGAGACCCTTGCTTCCTTATCAGCTTCCTCCTTCTCCCTCCTCATTTCCTCCAAGTCATTAGTTGCATCGTAAGGCCCCTTTAGTCTATACAAGCCTGAATAATAACAACACACATTTTAATATACAGTATGTTTCAATATTGTGTTCTTATTTTCTGTTGAACTGACTTTTGCGTGCATCCTGCTCCTGGCTCAGTACGATGTAGAGGTATCTGGGGCTTTCAGGACAGAGGGGGAGGAGGAGAGTCTGTAACACGGCTGGAGCCCCTGATAAACCCAACAGGATGGGCCAGAAGTCGTCATTACCGAGCACAAAGTCCAGACCGATCACCTACAAACAAGGTCACATTCATTGATTTAGCACAGTGGTGGTCAGATTCAGGGGGGTTTACCATTTTAAAGCTAAAATATTCCACAGTTATTCCAGTTCTAGTCTTGGCTGAGATCTACGTCAGTCCTATAATATTATTGTTTTAGAGGTTTAGTGCCATATGACTGGTGAAGTCACCGTTTTGACCAGTTTAAAGGTCCGATGTTACACAATATTGACTCTAGTGAACTTTAAGCCATGTTTGAATGTGATTACCTCATCAAAAATACACCGGGGGTTGTGTTTTCTTTCATGCACACGTTTGAGTAATTCTGCATTGTCAGTCTGTCTAAAACTCTGAATGCTCTGTTCCACCTTGTGATGTCATGAAGCAGTAATTTTCAAGTTAACAGCTATCGTTTAGTTTTTTTTTAGCAGAGCTTGACAATTCCACACATGAAATTATCCAAATGATTCAAGTGAAGGTGTATAGAGTTTAAAAACACAGTGGAGCACTTCCTGTATTATCACATGACATCACAAGGCGGAACATAAGATTTTCCGTTTGAGAGAAGGACACAGCCTAAATATGCAGGGTTTGTGTTTTAAGCGTGTGAATGAAACAAAACACAACTCCAGATATGTTTTTGATGAAGAAACAACATTATAGTTATAACATAGATGAGAAAACGGAATAATATGGGCTCTTTAAGTCCAATTTTAGTGTTTGCTTATTAAACCTGGTGTGAGTCTGATTTACGTGTTTAGTTAGTTTTTTGTTTCTAGTCTGGATTTGGCTTTAGTCCTGGTTTCTGGTCTTGTCTGTTGTTCCATTGTGTTCCTCATTATTCTCATTTTACTCAGTTGTAGATGGTCCACACTTTGAGAACTGCTTTTGCCTGACCTGGCTGAGCAGAATGCCGATGACAATAGCCAGTTGGTGTAAAGTCCCCAGTGCTCCTCTGTAAGTCTTGGGGGCAATCTCTCCAATGTACATAGGCACCAGACCAGAGGTTAGACCTGTAAGCACATGGACAAAAAAGAGAAAATATCATCAAAGTTCCTACTGTTAGAGATACAGGTACATTTATATGAATGTTAGTTTAAAAAAAAAAAAAGTGAATATATAAATAAATATTCCAATCAAATTTTAGATATGCCATATAAGCAGTGACGGAGTTAGCAGTATGGGGGCCCTAGGCGAACTTGAGTTTGGAGCCCTCACTATAATGCACTGTTTTTCTGTTTTGTTTAGTTTTTTAAATATATTTATTGTCTGTTTTTCCCCATTGTTCTTGAGACATGCACATCTCTATTTATTTGAATTACGGTGGATTGGAAACTTGTCTTATTAGTTAGGTCGCCTACGAGATAACAAGTGATGGAAGTAATTTTATTTTTTTGCTAATACAATACATTTTTGTTTACATCCATTACATATGATTATTATTATTTTTCTTATGATTATTGTTTAAAATTAAACTACTATCATTTAATGTCATATTGAGGGAAAATCTAATTGTTAGTGGCACTGAGGGCAATTGGTTGGGGTCCCTTCCTGGTTTGGGGGCCTAAGGCAGCTGCCTAATGGTAGCGCTGCCTCTGCATATAAGTACACTGTGTTCACTTAATCACCATGTATTCATTAAAAGTCCAAAAGAGGGAGAAATATTTTTGAATAGTTTTGAATTATCTGCCGATTGAGTCTTGAAGTATCCAAAAACGATCATTACTTTATTTTAATTGGTTTCTCATCTTCACATGGCTAAAATAGAAATGCAAATCACTGGTGTCATAGATCACAAACAGTGGTAGCTCGTCAGTGTTTCTTTACCACAGTAGAAGCCCATCACAGCTCGTCCGGCGATGACCATGATGTGAGGTTTCCACATCTGGCACATGCCCATGAGGAGTCCAGCTGCAATGGCCAGAACGTTCACCATCAACATGCCCTTCACCCTGTCGACAAAACACACACTTACTCTACACACTGTTCATGAGCTAATGCACTTCTTTAGCTCTACCTGTGACTTAATTTAGGTTATTTAGGTCACATAAGTTGTATTGTGTAACTTTTCTGGTGGAGAGTCCGTTTTCTCTATGGAGATGTTATTGCTTGTCTGGAATGTTTTACAGTATGGTATTAAACCTTTCTATCTTCATAGAGACCAAACCAGACCTATTGTACAATGGAGCACTTCCTGTATTACCAACTGACATCACAAGGTAGAACAAAGTGTTTTCAGTTTGAGAAAAGAACTCAGTCCAAATATGCAGTGTTTGTGTGTGAATGAAACACACAAAAAAACAACTCCACTGCCTTAGGGTAAACTGACAGAAGTGAGGCTGCCCACACACACACACACACACACACACGCACACACACACACGCACACATGCACACACATACACACAACATTCCCACTAGGCAGTTAAAAGTGTGAATTAAGTGTGTTGCCTAAGGACACAGCAGCAGTACAGAGAGCCACTATCGCCTCTGTGGCACCTGATATTCCCAGCAGCCTCCCAACAAGTACTAACTGACTTCAAATTGTAAATTTGTGACCATGTTAAAGGTCCATTGTGGAACTTTTCTGGTGGAGGCCTCATCAGATACTTTTCTCAATGGAGAAGTTATTGTCATATGTACATACATACATTTTAGAATGTTTGGAATGGAACGGTCATGCAGGCTTTTATAGGTATTTTGGCCATACCAACTTGTCAAAGCCTGATCCCGTCAGATCTCAGAAGCTAAGCAGGGCTGGGGCTGGTTACTACTTGGATGCGAAACCACTGGGAATTCCAGGTGCCACAGGGGGGCACCAGTCACAAAAAACTGTCCTTGTGTCCTTAGGCAAGACAGTTCAGCTACATTGCCTGGTATGAAAGTGGTGGTGTGTACGTGAGTGATGGTAGTTGGAGGGGTAGTACGTCAGTCTGCCCCAGGGCAGCTGTGGCTACAGTAGTAGCTTACGATCATTGAGTGTTGAGTGAATGAATAATGAACTGTAAAGTGCTTTGGGTATGTTGAAAGGCGCTATATAAATGCAATGATTAATTAATAATTAATTAAATAATTAATAATAAAAACATTTTTGAGCAATAAACTACCACCTGTAATTGAAAAAATGTAAGGTGGAGCTGTTTAACATCATACTGTGGAACATTCCAGGCAGAGCAATGACATCTCCATAGAAACAAGAAGGTGACAGACTCTCCACCAGAAAAGTTACACAGTGCACTTTTAAGACAATTATGATTAATGTTTATAGTTGATTAGATAATGTCACTTTTCTTATATTATGATTTCTAGTATGTCATCTGACCTTCCTCTCAGGTCTCCCACGAAGCCCACGAGGAATGAGGAGAGCATGCCCCCGATGGAGAAGATGGCCACAGAGAGGGACCAGTACATGGTGACGGCTGGGTGCTGTCCAGCCTCCAGCAGCACCTCCTCCCCCTCAGTCTGGTTCTCTAATGCTCTGACCGCACTTTCTGACCACACCCCCAAAGATTTCCCATAATTCCGCTCAATCACCTTTGTAAAACAGATTTTATTTTAAATGCTGGTACCCAAAATCAGAACTAAACATGGGGAATTTTGCAAGTGAAGTTAAGTTCATGAGAGGATGCCTGGAAAACTTGAGTAATGTTCATAGCACTTATTTAAGTTAGAGTTTAGGTTAGGTTAGTTAAAGGGCCTATATTACACTATTTTCTGATCTATGTTACAATGTTGTTTCCTCATCAGAAACAGACCTGGACTTGTGTTTTGTTTGCGTAGCTGTTAACTTGAAAACTAGGTGGAACAGAGCAATTTGAGCTTTGAAGCTGTAACTAGACTAATAATAAAGGCTTACTCAAACATGTGTGAATGAAACAAAACACAACTCCAGGTATGTTTTTTGTTGAGGTAACACTGGCTTAAGCTCACAAGAGTCTGTTTTATGTAATATAGGGCCTTTAAGATCATTCTCCTGGAAATCAATGCAAGTCAAAGTATTGAAATCTAACCTGTATTTGTTAGTTTTAAAGGGACAGTCTGGAATTTTGGACATAGGACCTCATTTCCTAGTGAGCCAGAGTGTTGGAGACGTGTGGAGACACTTCTATGTTTTTGATCTAAATATTCCATCCAGTTCTTGTATTTGCAGAGGTCACCGGTGCTAGGCTAGTGCATGTCAATGGCCATAGTTAGCCTGACACTAAAAACAGTCTTATCCACTCCACAAAACACCCGAAGCAAATCTGTTATTACACCAGTGTGTTGAAGTGAATGTCTGTGTTGATAGAATAATGTTTGAAATAAAACTAACCTTGCATTGTTTGCATTGAATCATCGCATGTTGAAGGACTATTTTCTCAGCAGTAGCGGAATTTTAGGTGCTAGGTGATATCAGTCCTCCGCTGCAGAGCTTTCTATCAGAAAGTGCAAGTTGCTGCTGCTCAGACATATATCCTTCAAATGCAAGGTTGGTTTTATTTCTAAAATTATTCTATTGACACAGACATTCACATGGACAGTTTGAAGTTATAATCGTTTTGCTTTGGGTATTTTGTGGAGTGGGTAAAACTGTTTTTAGTGGCAGGCTAACTATGGCCATTGACATGCACTAGCCTAGCACCAGCGACCTCTGCAAATACAAGGACTGGATGGAATATTTTAAAAAGTGTCTCCACATGTCTCCAACACTCTGGATAACTGGGAAATGAGTCCCTATGTCCAAAATTCCGGGCTGTGCCTTTAATAATTTTGTCAGTCAGATTTCATTTTATATGCTGGTGCCTAGAATCAGCACTATTTTCAGTTTTATGCAGCTAAACTCTGGAAGACACAGCTCTCTACTTTGACCATGTTTAAATCCAGGCTCAAAATGACAACTTTTATTTGCACTTTTGTCTTTAATTATTAACTTTATGATGATTACTTATGTTGTCATTTGTTTGTAGAGTGATTTGAATGTCTTACTTGTTCTATAAACCACACTTTTGTCTGTTTACAAATTGTGCTATACAAACATATTTGCCTTGCCTTATTTAAATGGTTGAAAATTCCAAACAGAACCTAGCAGCTCTGCAGAGTAGTGGTCTTTTTGAAAACTTTATAAGATACATGTACCTTCTGAGGCGCGTTGATCACTCCCAGGCTGTATCCATACTGCAGTGAGCCCAGTGATGCAGTAAACACAGCCAGAGCCAAAGTCCCTGTGAGCTGCTGAAGTAGGAAATGACAACTATAAATGCAGTCATAACAAGGATTAAGGGAAGACACTACAGGCAAATGCTTTTTTTGTTGTTGTTGTTGTTGTTGTTGTTGTTGTTGTTGTTGTTCAGATTGGATCCCTTAAATGTAGACTGTGTAACTTTTCTAGTGGAGAGTATGCTACCTACTTGTCACCATGGAGATATTATTGCTTTGACCAAAACAACACTAAACTTTACACACATTTGACTAAATTAAAGGAATGCTATTCTATTATTCTGTTCAATTTGAGATGCTTTTTTCATGTAGAGTAAAGGCACTTTGCTGTGCACACAAACACATCCGAACAAATATACAAATGTATTGACACAGATGAAAGGGCTTTAGTAAAAGGCAGTCAAGTCTGATCTTTATCTTAAATCATAAAACTGTTACCGTAAAATGTTTGTCTATTAAACTTTGATTTTCACTGTCTAACAATTCAACAAATATAATAATATAGTGCTTGAAATCCAAAAATCACCAGTAGTTTACACAAAGTAGATGATATTGGAGTTACATTTTCTAATTAGCATTTTTATTTTGACATTACGCTGCAAATTCAGTTATTGTCAAACTTCTGAAATTTTCAGAATTCACCAATAAGCATAACTTGCATACTGCATCTATAATTCTGTAATCCACAGTATATAAATGGGCCATAGGTTGCAGATAGTGAATTGCAATATGGGTTTATAAACTCTACAAACTATAAACTTTTTGTACTATAGTTAATAAGAATATATACAAAAGCATGTATCAGTTTTGACAAAACTTTGCAAATATTGATTCTACTTCATAATAGTGCAAGGATTAAAGTGTAATTTCCCCATTGTGGGACAAATATAACATAGCCATATTATTTTATATATGAACCTTTAAGTGTACAGAAAGCCTTTTAAATGCATATATACAAGCATTGCATTGAATTTGCAGTAAAAATGTACTTCTTAGTGCAAGTATCCAAGCATTAAACTGTTATTTCCCCATTGTGGGACAAATAAAGGTTTTTCTTGCTTAAATATTTAAATGCAAAAACATATAGGTAGTACACTAAATTTGCAGTAACTTTGTATTTTTCATGCAAGTATAGAATTAAACTGTAATTTCACCATAGTGGGACATCTAAAGCTTTATCTTATTGAAGTTTCACGTTGCCATATTATTTTACATATTAACCTTTAAGTGCACAGAGAGCCTATCAAAAGTGCACGTACAAGTACAATGCACTAAATTTAAAGAACCAAAGAGTGAATACCACGTTATAAAGTGGGCTTACCTTTCCGTTCTCCATGTTGGGAACAGATCGTCTTCAGCCCGGAGAGGCTAATGATCAATGGACTTTTAGCCTGGATCCTGCTCTGTCCACTCATTAATCTGACCCCAGCACGCTACACACATGCTCTGCCCATACACACAGAAAGCGGTGCAAAACAAGCCAATGGCAAAACCGCAATACGAACCCCCAATAAAGTCTAATAAAAGGTGATAGTTGTGATTTGTATGTGACAAAAAGTAGCAAATGTGTTGAGAAAAAAAAAGTTATAAATATTCAGATTATTTTAAGAGACCAACATGTCTTCGAACGTAAAATTTTGACTGTAAAAACTTGGTAAATTTGAATTAAAATGTTCTTTTTAGTTCTTTTTTTTTTGTAAAAGCATATGGGACAAATATCTAGCTGGTTAATGATTAATGATACACCACAGCTTGGACAAAGTCTGAGGGTCGTTCGATAATGCTGATACAACTGAAAATAGGCTGCAAAACACATGGTAAGGCTAATAATAACACATTTTAAATCTCTACTTTCGTTTATTTATCTCATAACATCTTATCTTTTACAAAACAAAACAAAAAAATCCCCAAAACAGGACATTAGTAATGCTCTTTTGAAAATTATTATTAAAACATAAAATGATCCAAGTTAAACATTTGAGGATACAGTGAAGAAGTTTCAGTGTAATGACAAAAGTTAACAGTAAATAATGCCCCATTCAAACGCAAAGTTGTGCAGTAGGTGTGCACACATGTATTGGGAAGACAGTGGCTTCAGAGCTCATTTTATATTATTATTTTCATTATTATTATTATTATTATTATTGCTAAAATGGCAGCTGGTTCTTTCCTTTTGCGTCCTAGAATCTGAACTGCCTCTGAAAAAACTATACAAACAATTAACAGATATATAAGACCTGAAAGATGAAGTCAAGTGGTTAAATGTGCAATTTTACAAGAGGAATTCAAGAAAAAAATCAAAAAAATAATAAAAAATTCCACGATATTAGATCATCGAACCTTCTCTAGACATTTTTTCCTTCAGTTAAAAACTTCATTTAAAGGTGCACTATGTAACATTTCCAGTGGAGGGTACACCACCTGCTTGTTTCCATGGAGATCTAATTGCTTTGCCTGAAATGATCCACAGTATGGCATTAAACTCATCTAAACAAACAGGTGACACCACAAGGTCAAAACACCAAATCAGGTCAAATCAGTAGAAAGGCGTGTCCACATATAGTAAAAATACTTTATTATTATACATATTTTAAGAAATGAAAACGCCTATAATTTGATTCCTGTATTACCAGATGACATCACAAGGTGTTTTCAGTTTGAGAGAAGAACTCTGCCTAAATATGCAGTTTTTGTTAAACATGTGTGAATAAAAAAACACAACTCCAGGTATGTTTTTGATGAGGAAACCTTATAACAAAGCAAAAAATAGTGTAATGTGGGCTCTTTAATAAATGCAAGATTGTATTTAAAGCCATACTGCGGAATATTCCAAGCAAAGCAATAAGATCTCCATGTCGTCAAATACAGAGGACAAATTTTACTACGCGGACAATAAAGTTCACCTTACCTGACCTGACCTCACACTATAAAAGTTACACAGAGCACCTCTAGTATCTCTTATCTGTGCTTTCTGTCAGCCTGATTTATAATTCAGAGATTGGATTCAGTATTACAAGGACACACATCAAACAGCTATCTAATAAAGTAACCGGAAGTAGCTTTTTAATCATGTACTATGCTGTTACTGTATGCAGATAACCACGTATTTAGATAAACTTCGGTGACTTCTGCCGTGACGCTTTCCAGGCAGTCCCACTAGAGGGAGCCATACATTTTGGTGGTCTTGGTTTTCAAAGTTGATTTTTTTTCTGCATTTAGTTCAGTTATGATCATTATTTAACAATTGTTTACCATCATCAGTTATTTTCTTTCTCATTCATATATTTTGTCTCTAAAAATCCCTTTAATATCATGGTAGTGGTTAAAGGTGCACTGTGTAACTTTTCAGGTGGGGGTTCGCCAACTGCTTGTTTCCATGGAGACGTCTTTGTTTTGCCTGGAATTTAATACAGCACAGCATTAAACGTATCCATTCCCAAAGACACGAGCAAGTGACGCCACAAGGTCAAGTTACAGGTCAGGTCTGTGGAGAGGGGACTGCGCTCACAATGAGAATGCATGTTTTTAAGGTTTGAGCCATAAAAATAACTGACATACCTAAAATCTCCATGGAGACAATTAGGTGGTGGATCATCTACCTAAAAAGTTACGCAGTGCACTTTTACGATACAACATGATTGAATTGAAAAGAGTAACATAATTAAGTACTGCATGAGCTGGTATGTTTTGGCCACCATTTTTAGTTTACCTGACGTCATGCAGAACAAAAAAAGTAAAATGATAAAAATTAAAATCTAAATTTGTTAAAAAATAGGGACTTCATCCAAATTGTTGAGGTAAGTATTTAAAACAGCTAAGGACTCAGGAGTGGGACAGTATAGAACTTTTAACTGAATCTGAATATTTATTATCTAGGTTTCTGATAGTCATGTTGCAGTTTGGCCGTGTTAGTTTTGGCTAATTAAAAATCTACTGTGCAATAAGATCTCGTGAGGTGTGAAAGTGATGCTCTCTTATGCATGGATAAATAAATAATAGGCTCTGTGCACAACCGCACTGTTAGCGTCACTACTTCCTGTTCAGTTGTGTATATACGGGAGTTTTGCTGAGTTGTGCTAAAATGTATAAATATTTAAAGATAAGGCATCGGACAGGGAGCTACGGGTGGATGTGACTGACAACACGTACACAAAAAGTACACAAATAAAAGGAATACTTGAGCGGCGAACACTTCTGTGTTTAGAAAGGTAGAGGTTTGTGACTCAATGCTAACGCTAATGCTAATTTTGAGGCAGAATAAATATTAAAACAATAAACAACAACAACCTGAAGTAATTTACACATAAAAACAATCAGGTAGTCTTTACTTTAATTCATTTGTTTTGTTTTTAAAGGTTGTTTATTTGTTTTTATATTTTATGATTTGAATAAAAGTGACTGTTAGCTTTTAGCGTGCTGCTGTGCACAGAGCCAAAGCTTTATTATTATTTTTTTTTTGTTCTGACCATTACAGGAAATTCAAGAATGGACCAACAAAAATATTTGGTCTGGATTAAAATCTATGTCTAAGTTCAGAAGTGAATGAAGAGAAACTTTTGTTTGTTTTGTATTGTTTTGTTGAGACATAGATTGAAAAAAAGGAACAAAGAATTAGCATATAATTAATTCTTCTCACTGTTTTATTCTAAATGTGTTTTGTTATGTTAGAAAAGCTATTACCACTGAACTAAACATTTTTGAGTTTGCGTTCAGGGCACTTTGACTTTACCATTGCGAGATAGGGTCAAGGCCTTAGCAGAGGTCTTCATTCATTCTATGCAGTTTCTGCATCAATATATCCTTTGTTTTTCCCTACAAGAGTTTGGGAACATCTCACAAAATAATCCAACAACACTGATTGATTTATCCGGCCACTTGATCCACATTTCACCCATTGTTTTCTGAAAATAGTTACTTTTTCTGCATTTTCTCAGCAGGTTTGCACACCGATTTCAGCTTGATTTCAAAATGCAAGCCAAAACGCACATATCTACACACACACACACACACTTTCATACATAGACAGACAATTTTAACCTACACATGTGCTATACAACTTGTCAAGCATCAAAGACTTTAAACAAAAGTAAAGTGGTACCTAACAAACAGGGAAATTACAGTATATCTGATGCAGCACCTTGAGAGATAAGAAAGTGAAGAAGAAAAAAAGTTGAGGAAATAGAGGATTGAGTGAACGTAACATTTCGTAAAAGGACATATTTTTGCATACCGACACAACCCCTACTACAATGTCCCAATTGCATCACTAGAAGCAGTATCCATGGTTACGTAGAGCCTAAAACAGCTGGAAATGGTGAGGAGGATTGTAACTTGGGGTAGAACTAAAGTCGTGACCCCTGTACTGAATAGTTGCTTCTTTTGAGTTGTATATGAAAAAGGATTCATTTTTCTCCCATCAGCCCCAGAGGTAAAGTTGAGTTGAGACTTGAAAATTATAATGATTCATCCAGAAAATCACGTGAAAAGTTTGACAATCAAGAATCTAGACAGTGGATTTACAATTTACTTCGAAAGTGCGAAAAAAATTTGGAAAAAGGAGATTTTATTTGTAAAGACGATGGCAACGCTCCAGTCAAGTAAAATGGCTTCTTTGTTAATCCAGGTTAGCATAACTCTCTCGTACAGCATTGAGTTTTTGCTTTTGGGTTATTTTTTTTAGTCTTTTTCTGAGTTTATGCTTGGCCTTGTGGGTAATCTGGGTGAGGTGTGTCGAGGTGGGCTGGGTCGACCAATGGGAGTGAGGCAGAGTGAAAGTGGGTGGAGTCATCACCAGTTCATCATGGAGCTTCTGTTCAGAGTCATGAAGAACACCTGGCTGCTACCGCCCGAGCGCACTGAGGCAAAGAAAACCTGTGAAGAATGAAAATATGTGTTTGAAAGCCAATATATCAAATCAAACATTAATACAGGGAAAAAAGTGATATTATATGTATATCTATGTATATTTCTTTAAAGGTCATATACTATGTAAAACTGACTCTTGTGAGCGTTAAGCCGTGTAAGAACTGTGCTACCTCCTCAAAAACAGACCTGGAGTTGTGTTTGTTTCATTCACACGTATGAGTAACCCTTTATTATTAGTCTGTTTACATCTTTGAAGCTCAAAACGCTGTTCCACTTTGTGATGTCATGAAGCATTAATTAGTTAACATCTACCTTTTTCACTTTTGTTCAGTAGGAATTGGCAATTCCAGGGCTGAAATTAATTTAGTGAAGGTATATGGAGTTTTTTTTTTTTTTAAAACACAGTTATCACATGACATCACAAGCTGGAGTGTTTTCAGTTTGAGAGAAGAACTCAGTCTTAATATGCACGTTTTGAGCGTTAAACATGTGAATGAAATAAAACACAACTCCAGTATTTTTGTCATGAGGAAACAACACAATAACATAGATCAGAGAGTAGGGTCATTTTTTCCGGTCTACCAGCTGTTGGCCGTAGCAGAGGGCGCTAATACGATCATTTGCCCATTTGTCAAGCATAAATTGCATAGGCTAAAAGGCGACAAACAATACTTGTTGGTTTCAACACATGTCAAACATGATGAACTGAAGACGTAAGGAGAAAGGTGGATGGGAAAAAGGTTAAAGATAAAGAAAAAAAAAAAACTCACTTTTTTATCTTTAACCTTTTCCTTATCTTTAAGTCAGTTGGAAATTAAATGATTTTGGTGTTTTTGTTAACAAACAATCAGAAGTAGTTAATTTTGTCTGTTTTCTTTAACGATTTCATTATTGATTTAATGAAATTATTTATTATTCATTATTTAAATTTTCACCCCTCCCACATGGTAGGCCAATCTGTGGGGGAAAAGACCAGGGCTGTTTTTTGGTCCCAGTCCATCCCTGGTATCAAATTAAGAATATTTATGTAGCAAATTTAAAATAGCTTAATCTAATCAAAAGCCTGATCACAAGTGAGAGTACAGTACAAGCACAAGCACAAATAGAAAAGTACAAAGTAAGAAACACTTTATGCTTTTAACTGAAAGTCAGAAGTAGTAGATGTACTGGAATAGAAAAGTATGGACTATACCTTGTCGTTCCTTTCACAGAGGAACTTGAGTCTCTGAGCTCTCTTGTGCATGAAGACTCCGTCCAAATGTCCCGTCTCCACTGAGCGGATCTCTATGGCTTTCTCCCCCCAGCCCATGATCTGATTCGAGTGAATGTAGGCTACACACACAAAGAAATAAGTTTAAAATCACGGTTATGTTTACAGAAGAAGTAACACTATTCATTGTAACATGATACTGGTAGTAGCCATAGAACTGAAGTCGTAAAATTATAATAGAAGTAGCAGGCCTGCAGTGTAAAGTGCATGTAACATCAAGCATGACCACTAGAGGGCAGTTAAAGATAAGAAACTGCAGTCCACTCAACCCACGTGGTAGAAATATATTACAAACTTCATATTGCAACCTGATTTTTAACTTTCAGTCCATAACGAGCAAGCAAGAAAGAAAATTGAGTTTTAAATTAACTTTACATAAGACATCTGTTTATGTTTCTTTATATTAGTATTAAGCCCACAGGAATGTGTTCTTTTAACATATACATTTAAGGAGAAAACATTACATATGATTTTACATATGTAGTGTAAAATATTATTAGAGGGGACCTGTGTGGTTGTCACATCGATAAGAGGGCAGAGCAGACTTTGAGAATGGCTGCACTAAGCCTTAAATGCCAAAGTTTATTCTCTCCATAAAATTCAGTAATATTTCGCTCATTTGTCTGTGTCTCTTTAACCATCTCCGGGTTAATTTATCATTAAGTTATGATTAAGCGATCATGTCTTACCAACAGAGGTAGGCATCTCTCCCCACTGCAGCACCACGTCCTTGGTGATTCTCCCATAGGTGTTCACGTACACCCCCTCGTCCTCATAACAAAGCAGCATCTCCATCCCATCAGTCTTAGGGAGCACCACGATGGCATGGGGCGTCACCTGGTTTTGGATCTAACACAAATCCACACAAACAAATATTTTAGAAAGCTGGTCACAGAGTTATTATGATACTGAGGTGAGAGGATAGAGGTACTAGATAGAGTACACTATTGACTATGTGGAAAGAGGGAGTGACTTGATATTTGAGGGTTTCTTTGATGAGAAAACTGGAGAAATTCACAAAGTTACTATGAGAGTTGAATTTTCTACAATAGGTGCTTTAGAAAGGACTAAAACATTAAGAAAATCTACAGTTACTATGCAAATGCAAATTATAAGAAATAGATATGAAAGAAATGTGCCACAATGACTCACAAATCTTTTTATCCAGTCTAAAGTGTGTAAAGGGAATCAATTATTATATATATAAAAAAAATCTAAATAAATACTAAAACATTTGCATAGCACTGTACAAAGGTTGGCCTTAGTTTGGCCCCATAAAGAAGAGTATTTGTGATCAAGAGATAAAATGGATACAGGAACAAACTCATCTTACCCATTAGAACCAGATTTGTTAAAGCTCATACTTTCTTAAAGGTGTACTATGTAACTTTACTGATGGAGCGTCCACCACCTGCTTATCTCCATGGATACTACTACTTTACCTGGAATGTTGCACAGTATGACATTAAAACCTGTATCTCTATAAGCATGTTGCACTAACCAGTCAATTCACAGGTCAGATCTATAAAGAGGCGACCCCTGTCACAGTAAAAATGCATTCTTCTATGAAATTTATTTAGAAAAAAAAAGAAAAAAAAAAGTAGAATACACATTGTTGGAAAGAATACTCTGAAAACGTATTTAGTTACAGAATATGAATAATTGAAATAAAATGTATTTTGTAATTCTGATGCATGGTCCAATCAGAGTACTGTATTCTGAATACCGGTACTTAAAATACTTTAACTTGAGCTGTATTTAAATTATAGTGTAAAAACTCAAAATATGATTAAAACAGAATTATGTTTATTTAATCGTTTGTTACAGACTAATTGGAGACCTCTGAAACCTAAATTGTGTAAACCATGTAATCCTCTGATTTTAGGAAAGTAACTGTAATCTGAATACCATCAAATGAAAAAAAATGAACCATACCAGAATACAGATATTCAAAATATGTGTTCTAAATACATATTCTCAGTACATGTATTCAGTTACTTTCAAACACTGAGAATATAGTTTAGAGAATTGAATACATCCAAGTTTGTTAATTTAATGTCATACTGTGGAAAATTCCTGGAATAGCAAGAACATCTCCATGGAAACAAGTATGTGGCAGATGTTTTGAATAGTCCACCTTCAAGCTCCATTCAGGTTTTTGGTTGTATGTTAAATATATACATTAATTCTACCATTACAATACATTAGACCCAATTATATTTCACATTATGTATAGCTCAGTGTAAATGTCAGGGGTAAGATGAATTTACTCACACCACATGATTTCAGTGTTATTGGTTAATGAACTGCACTGTACAAAGCAGACACTTATGGCACTGCTATGTATTCACTCAGGGTCTGCACTACAGCACTAATATTGATCTAGTCTAAAGGGTCGATGTCAGGACGTCACCTTCATTTGAGGGCCACACTGTGAGAAAAGAGGAGGAGAGGGGGGAGAAGAAAGAGCAGGCTCACATGAAAGGTGGTAATACAAAGAGAAAAGCATTTAAGTGTCAAAGCTTCTTCGTAAATTATAAATCTTAGGGAGCACCTCGTGGACTGCACTGCATGTGGACTCAGCGCCGCCTCTCTCAGACCATTACTTTGATCAGGCAACATTACGATTACCGGTGGATTTGGTAACAGTTATCTCTTCATTGTGGTTGTTATGGTTGAGTGTGTTAATGGGCCTATATTACGCTATTTTCAGCTCTATGTCATAATTTAAATAACTTTCATTATCTAAAACATACCTGCAGTTGTTGTCTGTTTCATTCACACACGTTTAACATATGAAATTTCTTCTCTCAAACAGAAAACACTCTGTTCCAACTTGTTTTAATACAGGAAGTGCTCCACCGTGTTTTTAAACTCCATACACCTTCACTAGAATCATTTGTATACTTTCAGTTCTAAAACTGGCATCCTCTATCAAACAAAAGGTAAAAGGTAGATACCGCTTCATGACATCACAAGGTGTAACAGAGCATTTTGAGCTTTGGGGATGTAGAGAGACTAATAATAAAGGATTACTTGAAACAAAAATCTGTAACAAAATCTCACGAGTCAGTTTTTCGTAATATGGGACCTTGAAGTAGTTAACATAAATTATGAATATTAATCTTATCTTCTGAGTGGAATTAGTTGTCAATTAGATGTTCATATACATCAGACAATATCCATGGGTTTCAGAATGATAAAACATTGGGACCATGGTCATAGCAATAAACAATTTAAAACAAAATATATCTTTTGAAAGGGAAAAAGTCTTGAATAGGTACAAGAAGATTTATTACCTTCACAATTTACAGACATACAATACCTACCATATATCTTACCTACCTAGAGGAACAACTAAATTACAAAAAAAAAGCATGGACGCTTTTATGGTGGAGAATCTGTCACTTGTTTGTTGCCATGGAGTTGTTATTGCTTTGCCCAAAATGTTCCACAGTATAGCATTAAACGTATCTATCTCCATGGAGACAGGCAAGTGGCAAACCTCTCACCAGAAAAGATGTTTGGCACACCTTTAAATTTATGTGTTATGAGCCCGCGAGTATATAAGTAAAATGATGATTTCTATTTTTAACTGCATATGCCCTCATTTGTGGTCATACTGTTCTATCTGAGGTGCTAATAAGAGTCAACTTGAAATTTGCACAGGAAAATAATTTGAGATAAGAAAACCACAGAGCTAATCTGCACAAGATTGCGGAAGTTCATATAAGAATCTTGATAAAACGTGCACGCTATAAGCAATGTAATGAAAAATACATGAAATTACAAATAGGTTGTGCTGCAAGATAAAATTTTAAATACATAAAATGTTGATCTGTTTTCTGGTTACATTTTCGGATAGTATAGTTGTAAAAGGTATCAATAAAATATGCCATTCAAATGTTTTAGAGGTCCTATATTACGCTAAAATTTTTTGTTTATTAACATGCTCTGTGCCAATCAAATAAATAAAAAATAAATAAATAAATAACATATATCAGAAAACAGAGTAATATGGGCCCTTTACTGGAGATAGTCAATTTGAGAAGGGCATCTGACATAAAATTTATTATGCAAATTTAATGCTCCAATTACAGTACCCTGAAAGATTGATGGTATTGATTATTTTGTAACACATCTAGTCAGGAATGCTTTGTATATTGTCACACTTATACAAAACTACTACATATATTACATGGTGGTAAGTCAATAAAACAAACTGGAGGACTGCACTTACATGAGAGGGGATGTAGATGTCATAGGGGTTACCAGAGTCCACATCAATCACATGGAAGCCAACAGTGGAACCATAGATGACCTTTAATCTTTGACCCTCCTCCACTGTGAGGTCAACCAGCAGGGGGCGATGCTGCAGCTCGGCAAAGGACTGAAGATTATAAGAGAACAATAGACGTGAGTTTAAGTTCATATATTAGGAACATTAGTGTGGTATGCATTGAAATAAATACCTTAAAGGCCATAAACTTGTGGTATGGTTTGGGGGCCCAGGCATAGATTTCCACTGCGTTCTTCAAAGCAATCACCAGGAACTTGATTCTCTCATATTTCACTGGTTTTGAGAAAGAATCCAGATTTTTTATTAGCAGCAAAACTCTGTTAGCTAGAAAAATGTATGATGAATAATGGTACTTACCAACTTTGTAATGGACACATCCCTCCAGCTCTCCCACTGTGACCCATCCCTGCTTCTTCTCCACTTCTGGATCATTGTGTAATATTCTATTCCTCAGCCAGGACAAATAGTAAACACGCAGCTTGTTCTTTTTCCCTGAAACAGAGAAGGTAAAATTATGATTATGAATTGTAACATGGAGAAACTACATTACAAAGATTAGGCATAACATTAAAAGGTCCTATATTACACTAAATTGACTTTTATAATGTTGTTGCCTCATCTAAAATATACCTGGAGTTGGGTTTTGTTTCATTCATACAATGACATAACCCTTTATTATAAGTCTGTCTACATCTCCAAAGTAGTGTTAGTTTTCAAGTTAACAGCTACCTTTTACCTTTTGAGGATTTGTATATTAAAAAAATTAAAGATGTGTAGTTATTCATCTTTTTTCTTGAGTACATATTTCCATATATCTTGCTTCATATATTTGATGTCTTCTGTATGATTCAAAAAAGTAAAAAGTACTAAAAATAAAGAAAATAAACATTGTAAGAGATATCTACTGTACTATTATTATGCTTCCATACTTACCAGATATAGTAACCAGCACATTGAGCCCTTCTAGCACATCCATCTGAAGAAAGCGCCTCCTGGTGATCAGATTGTATACTTTCCCTTGTCCACTCCGATCAAGCAGCATCAGCCCATTCTCCGTTCCCACGAGCAGATTTACCCCTAAAACACCCCAAAAATAAGTTATAGAAGACATTACATTTGAAAAGAAGATATATATATTTTGTATTGTGTTACTACTATACCCCATAAAGCAGCACACAGGATCTCAGAGTTGAAGCGCTTTTTATACTTTCGGATTTCAGGTGTGTCGCTGTGAGGTCGGATGTTGGTTGGGTTGACGTTGACAACAGAAATCTTCCTGGCTTCGTTGAGTCTGGCTTGTTCTTGTCTCAGTAATTCGTTAGCAAACATGGCTAGAGAGAAAGACGTTAAAAATGTCATTATGCTACAGGTAAACATGAGGCATATCAACAGAACAAAGTGCTGTCATTTGTTATCATAATGAATCCGTTAACCTACAGTAATTTCCATATAGGAAGAAAAAGTGGAGCATTTGTGGCTTTAATGCATACTGTTGTCTCTTTAAGGTGACACACTTCACCCACATTGCCTAGTATGAATGTAAGGTGAGTGACTGGTCGGTGGTGGTGGAATGAGTAGATGAGGCACACTGGTAGCCTCGCTTCTGTCACTGTATCCCAGGGCAGCTGTGGTACAGTATCCTACCACCACTAATGCAATGTTTTTCTGTTCATTAATATATATAATATTGCAGTTGTATTTTTTTTATTCAGTATAAATGTTTTTTGTATATAAATCCAGTCTTACCAGCTGCAGAATCACTGTCTCCATCAGTGGGGGAGGTCTGATAAACACGAGGGTCGACAAACGGCGTAAAAGAGGATTTGGATCCACTCAAACCAAACTGAAACAGTGAGGAAACTACACTAGTGGATATTTTTACTTTACTTCCATGTTGTTAAAGGTCCTATATCACACAAAATTGTGTTTTGTTTCATTCACACATGTTTCAGTAACCCTTAACCCTTATAACAGATTAATAATAATATTAATCTGTCTACATCTACAAAGCTCAAAATGCAAGTTAACAGCTACCTTTTACCTTTTGTTTCAAAGAAATTGGCAATTCTAGGGCTGAAATTATCCAAATAATTCTAGTGAAGGTTTATAGAGTTTAAAATCGCAGTGAAGCACTTCCTGTTTTACCACATGACATCACAAGATGGAATAAAGTGTTTTCCTTTTGAGAGAAGAACTCTGCCTAAATATGCAGGGATTGTGTGTTAAATGTGTGAATGAAACAAAACACAACTCTGGGTATGTCTGTGATGCATAATATGGGCCCTTTTATAATAAGTGGTGTAAGCAGTCCAGTTTTATCATAAATCTAAGTTACCGACCTCTGCCATGTCTCCCAGCTCTTGCAGGGCGCTGGTGGGTGTGGCTGATGGGGAGTTACTCTGCTGCACCAGGTCAGGGAGGTTACCATGGTTACTGTGATTCCCAAAACCATTACTCTCCATGTGAGCTCCTCTCCTCCTCTCCTCTGCCTGTAAAATATGGGGATGAGATCGTGAAATGAATACAAAATAAGACAAAGTAAACAGTATTAAAAAGACTCGACTAAACAATAAATCTTACTTCTAACACAAAAGTTTAAATTGCTAAACCAACTGCAAACAAATATTTATGCTGAAAATTAATTTTAGTTTATTAAGTCTTGTGTTAGTTTTTCTTCTTTCATCTATCTAATGCAGAGGTTATAAATTAAAAGGTTAGAATTTGATCACTGCATACACTAGTCAGGATTAGAGTATCAATTAAAGGGTCTATATTGTATTACTTTCTGATCTACATTATAATGTTGTTTCCTCATCACAGACATAAATGGAGTTGTGTTTTGTTTAATTCACACATGTTAAGCACACAAACCCTGCATATTTAGGCAAGGTTTTTCTCTCAAAGAGAAAGCACTCTGTTCCACCTTCAGAACTGAAGAAACAGCTTGGATGAGCTGCGAAACATCTTCAACCAAACTAACTTTTGTCCAGTCGACAAACTGAATTTTCTCATCGACATGGATTCTACCTGGATGACTGAGGGATTCTTCATACATCACAAAAGCTATATTTACACCATGATCTTCCCTTGGCATACCATTGGCATACCATTATGTAAATTGTGGCATATTGCTGTCTAACCGGTGTCTACTCGCCTTCATAGTCTCACCACACTTGCTTTATAAACATTCTCCTAAGGAAGCATAATAAAGGAGCTTAAACACTCAAAGATCATACTACGTTCTTTTTTGAAATCATACTATGTTGACTGTTCAGGTCCTCCCGGGCTCGTTTTATTGATGGTAAATAAACTTCTCCGACTTAAGACATCTAGTTGGTCTCCAGCATTTTACTTCTACCCTGAAAACGTCGACAACACACTGTGTTTTTAAACTCCTTACACCTTCACTAGAATATCATCCCTGGAATTGCCGGTCTCTACTGAACCAAGTGAACTTGAAAAACCACAGCTTCATGACATCACAAGGTGGAACAGAGCATTTTGAGCTTTGGAAATGTAGACAAACTAATAATAAAGGATTACTCAAACATGTGTGAATGAAACAAAACACAAATTCGGGTCTGTTTTTGATAATGTAACAGCATTATAATATGGCTAAAATCTCAAAATCAATCAATTCGAGTAAATTTTGTGTAATATAGGACCTTTAAGTAGTAACTAAACCTGAATTTGCTCATTATGAATTAAGCCTATTTTCATTCTTTATTAAGGCATGAATATGTGGTATTATTATTATTAAAATGTACCCAAGTATGCAATGACAACACAAGTCAGACAGGAAACCATATACATTGATATTCACCTTAATATTTTGGCTCCTTAGTCTCTGTAGCTTGTTTATGTCACAGTGTCAGTAAGTTGTCTGTAATGATTGTCTATTATCTTTTCATGCAGTTCTTTTTAATGTCTCACAGTGAGTTTTTTCCAATGTGTTTTTTTAACTACAAATAAACTAACCTAACCCAACTTGAACCCCCCTCACCTCTCTCATCACCAGAGTGCTGTCCTTGGAGCTGTTGTAGGCGTCTCCGAGCGCGTCCTCCGTCATCCCGCCGCGAGACTCACCACTGGTCTTCACCACCGGCCTAAAACAAAACTACAGTTACACAAACAGGTCTACAACATCTGAAACATGTTAAGAGTACAGAGTGGTAGAAAAGTCGTCTTATACCCAAAATTGTGACAGTTCAATATATTGTGTTCACGTTATAGAAACTTACAATGACATTATTTCAGATGGAGGGAAAGGGGCTGAAACACTTCTATGGGAGATTAACGTTTTTTGAAAGAAATATATTAATAATATAATATAATACAGTTATGATTACATAATGTTGAAAATCATCTATATTTGTGAGGGACTAGATATAAACTGGCAATTATTAATATGGAGTATTGTCCTTTCAAACGACAACAATTACACCATTGGGGTTGAACGATGACACCACCAAAAAATATTTGTTGATAGTGAGAAAGAATACCTTGAACTCTGCCAGTTTTTGTTTTATGATAGGCCACAAACTATAAACAAATGGACTAAAGGAGTGTGATGACACCCATAGCGCTTGGCTCCAGTCAAATGAAGCTCACAGTGGCAGTTATAGGGACAAATTTGGATTAGTAATAGGATTTTATTTACAGACAAAATAGCAAAAAAAACCAAACAAAAAAAAAAACAAAAACATCAGGATCATGTAGAGGGGATTAATACAAACATGTTAAGACCAAAATGAGTAGCCTGACAGGAGCAGTTATAGAGAGAGGGGCAACATTTTTTCAATACAAAGTGAATTAGAGCTGGAGTTGTTGGAGCCAAAAGCACGCCCATGCTCACTTCCTATGTGGAACGTGGTGGCTAGTGGGTTAGCTATGTCCATGTTTTTGCTCTATGTGGATAGGCCCACTAATTACATATCAAACTAAACCAAGACAACAGGTAAACAAGAAATTCCACCACTGAATTCTTACCAGCTCAGTTTTAAACTACAGGAATTCAATAATGTTGTGATGAACATTTGCACTTTTTAAATTCCATTTCTCAAAACAACTAAATCATCTATTTTACCTCTACCATCTACAAAAGTAATTCTGCTTCATCTGTTCTGACAATAGGCTGGCTCTGTGTCCATTGCAGCATCACACACACAAATCCAAACTGACAGGTGCAGACAGAAAGGTGTCCAGGAGAGAGGAAACACGAAAAGCCCAGGGAGGAAAACCTACATGATTCGGGGTATGTCGCTAACGGCAACAGTCCCGTCATGGCCGACTGTCTCGCCGTCTTCGTCACTGCTCTCAGAGTCTTCACTGGAGGACGAGTAGTCTGTCACCTTCAGAGCACACAGGAAGTACAGGTCAAATGAACTGTTGATGTTAGGATTAGCAGATAGATTCGATTTCTGTTTCCATTTGAATAGTGTAAACAGACAGTTAATAGCTTCTGGCTCAGGTGAGGTCTTTGTTAATTGAAATTTTACTTGAGTCCAGTTTTTTGTGTTGACCACAGCTTCACAAACAACTGCATGTATGAGTGCACACCCCCTTCCTCTGAGTTGTATATGCGCCCTTGACTATTAACAACAACATTGGATTGTCTCTAATTTTAAAGCACTACTGGGTAACGTTTTAGACAAAAAAATACTTTTTTTTTTTTTTTTAAAATACTGTTTTATTGTCTCTTGACTCTTACTTGATTACATTATGGAATACAATTTATCAATCTCCTTGGAGACTGTTCTACTACAGTATGGCTTTAACTTTCGATTGCCATGAAATCATGCAGTAGCATGCCTCCAGACATTTTTGAAAGTTCTTTCTCCTAAAACTACTCATATATACATTATACATTAAAAAAGGTCCATTGGATTCATTCATGCATATAGCCTACACTAATTTCATTACCAGTTAAAGCTTGAGCTGTAAAAACATGACATACTTTGACAGGAGGCCTGGTGCCCTCTTCAACTCTCAACTCCCGCAGTTCCTTCGCCAAAGCACTTAAATCCTACAGAAAGCAAGACACAAAATACACAAAAAAGTTTATTTAAGGCCCTTTCTGATATACATATACAATACTGTACTGGTAAAAATTAGATCACATTTTAATGTCATACAAACCCTACTTGGTATTGAGAACAAATGTGCTGATTTATTCTGATTTGCAAATAGAGAAAGTTCAGCAATTCTATTCTCAAATATTGATACAGCAAAAACAAGCCATTGGAAGGAAAATGCAAAGATAATAAGGCCTCTAATGGGATCATTCTGGTGACTACTAGCCATTGCCATGCTACTTGGACGCTGTCCAAGTCCCTGTTTATAGTCAGTACCCAGGCCAAATCATGCAGAATACAAAGAGGAGATGGTCATGGTACACGGGGGTCTTACCAGCTCTTCCTGATAAGAAATTGTGACAAAGAAATAGGAAGAAAACAGGTTCAGATTTGTGCTTGGCTCTTTGACAAACCACATGCATGTAAACATATAGATCTGCACAAGCACTCCCTCTCATACACTCTCCCGGGTAAGTGTATGGAAAGTCCCATGCACTTATTTCAGTAAGAAGGATCAAAGACAGGATTCTAGTGCTGTGGTTCTCAAACTAAGTTTTATGCTTAGATGTAGTCCTGGTTTAGTCTAGTCTAGTTTAGTTTTGGTTTTGTTTGTGATTCATGGATTAGAGCTACATTATTACATCTGTATTGAGTCTTATAGATGAGATTGGTTAAGTGTTGGTTATTATAAAAATGTATAAAGAAGAGGACTTAAGGAGTATGACGTCACCCATAGCATTCCCTCATGCTCACTTCACATTTGGAACAATATTTGGAACATGGTGGTCCATTTATAAACACAGTCTACGGTTTAGCTCTAGTTTAGTCTTGGTTTAGACCTTGTTTCGGTCCCAGTTTAGTCCAGATGTAGTCCTGTTTTGTCATGAGTTATGCTGGTTCAATCCTTGTTTGTGTTTTATTGTAGTTTAAAATATAAAAATATAAAGTATAGTATTTTTGGAGGTTTGAGAACCATGGTTTAAAAAAAGGGGGGAATCAAACTTTTATTTTCATTAAACAAGGAAAAAACTGAGGCTTGGTGAGAGGCATTTCCAAAGGTTTTCACTGACCTCATCTATGGCTTTCTTATAGCTCTGGGTGGACAGGAGAGACAGAGTAAAGATGTAAAATAGAGAAAAGAGCAAGGAGACTGGAGTTTGTGAGCTGTAAAATACTCACTGCTGGTCTGCTGGGTCGACTCGAGTCCCGCCCTTCCTCGGGTTTCGGCTTAGGTTCCTGATTGGCTGCTGGGGGAGATCCTTCCTGCTTTCTTTGACCTGTCAGAACACAGAAACATTATTTATACAGTTCACAAAACACCTGAGTGAGGCCATAGTAAGCCATAATGTTTGGTTTTCAGGAAGGCTGTCTGATGCCAGCTTTAAATAGTGCATACTTGTGTCCACTGTTGTGTCCTTGGGCAAGGCACCTCATCCACCCTGCCTTAGAATCAATGTGTTGTGTGATTATTAGTGGTGTGAGAACTAATTAGCATGGACTGGCAGCCACAGTTTATCAGTCAGCCCCGGTACAGTACATAACATACCAACATAGAGTTTAATGACTGGGGAGTGAATGAATTTAATTACTGCCAGTTACTGTACACATATCTATTATTTCTACTGCTTAAATAGTAAAACTTTTTTTGCCAACAACATATATACCAGCTAAAATATTAAACAAAAATGCCCCACTTTTAAAAGGGTCCATATAATGCTATTTTCTGATCTATGTTATAATGTCATTTTACTCATCAAAAAGTAGTGGAGTTGCGTTTTGTTTCATTCACACATGTTTAATGCACAAATCTTGCATATTTACGATGAGTTCTTCTCAAAAATTTACACTTTAAACTTCATACACCTTCACTAGAATCATTTGGATGATTTCAGTCCTAGAATTGTCCATCTCTACTGAACTAGCGGTAAAAAGTAGCTGTTAACTTGAAAACTATCACTTCATTTTGAGCTGTGTTGAGATGTGGTCAGTAATAATGCAGTATTACTCAAACTTGTGTGAATGAAGTAAAACACAACTCTAGGTATGTTTTTGAGGAGGTAACATTTAGGACCTGAATGATATATCAGCCGTTATGGGCATTTTGAGACATATCAGCTATCGGCCTAAATCTTGCCAATATGGGCCTTACACTGGCCTACTGTAAAGTGACTATAGTGGCTGTACACATGTTATTGGACCTGCATTGATATGTAAATGAGCTGTGAATAGAGATGTGAATGATAGGCATTTATGCATATAATTAATTACAGAGGAGTGCACGCATTTACCGCTAAAGGCTGATAGCAGTAGTTTACTTACTTTCTTTACAGGCTAGAATGTCATTCAAAAAAGCCATTAGGCTGACCTACTGTCTTTAAATATGACTGTAAAGAGGTAGAATAATATCGGCTTTTTATATCGGCCCCATCCAACTCCCATTTTATCGGTATCATATTGGCTGCAAAAAAAAAAATCCGTATCGGTCAGGCCCTAATAACAACATCCTAGCATGAAAACTCACAAGAGTCAATTTTATGTAATATAAATATTAAAATTAAAAGTTTGTTGAAGTATTCAGTTACCTCTCTTTGCTGTTATAAATCGTGTAAATACAGATTTGTTGAGTTGAGTGCTATGGTGATTTTTTAAGTTTTATCACTTGATCCTATCCGCCGTGCTCTGTGTCCCTCCACTCCATCTCAAAGCGCATCTTTGCCTGAGTCTTGTCAGATGTAGACCCATGCATATCTGGGATCTCCCCGTGGCCTGCTGTTTGGCTGTTTGACACTCCCCTGTGCGCGCCTCTCTATCTTCTTCACTAATTTCCTCTCCTCTGTATCGCTCTGGAGGAGACAGGTGGATCAGAGCAGAACGAGCGCTGTCACTGTGGAACTGATACCGGCTCTGAAGCATGAGCCAGTGTGAGTGGGGTTTCCTATGGCGCCCTTTGAGTAAATGTTAAGTGTTTGTAATTAGCATATCTTAGCCAGAGTAAATTGTTTGCAAAAATAACATTAATCATGAATATGGATTGGTTCAGTGGTTATTAAACTTTTCACTGCAAGTACCACTTAAGATATTTTTTGCCTTTCGGAGTACCCACAAATCAAAGGCTGGGCTATATCAAGACTTTATAAGAGAAAAACATGGTATAAAATAACACTAAACCAAGGATAACTACAGATCGACTATATGTTGTTGTTTTTTTCATGTCTGACTCTGATACCGATTATTTAGGATACAGAGCAACTGATGGCCGATAAGTTCTGCTAATGTTTTTGGGCTGATATCTTGGGTAGCTTTAGTTCATTTTCCCCCTAATTACGTGATTTGAATTTACTACAAACTCCCCAAACCTATAAGAGAGTGGTGCAGTCACGTTTTGTGCAGCAGTCTCTTCGTATTAAAGTGGTAATAGAAAACTTTGTGTGTATTTTTTTAAGGGTACAAATCAACCAAAAGAAAACATCGGCCTCTTGGTCTCTAAATTTACTAAATAATACTTAAAATGCAGAGGGCCTTGCATACCACCAAAAGTACATGGACCAAACTTTGGGAAACACTGGACTAGTTAAGATGTATCTTCTTGTTACCCCTTAGTTTTCTGACCAATTTCATTCATAATTAGTATTTTTTTACAACTGCCAGTGGAGAAAGAAAGATGAAGATGCATTCTAGAGTTAGAGTGGTTGATGATACAGGTTTAAATAAAACAAAATATAATTAAAGCAGTTTCAAAGCTAATCAATGAATCTTAAAAGAAAAATTTCAAACCTTTAGACTAATACTAACAACTTAAATCTAAAGTATTTTCCATTAGTATAGGCGACTATGGCACCCCATAGTCTAAAAAGAACCTGGACTATATATACTATACTACTATAGCTATACTGGTTAAAAATTACCAGTTAAAGATTAAAAATAAAGATTAAGTACAGTAAGTGAATATTACACTTTGATTAATTCAATCAAATAAAAATAATATGTGCAACCATAGTCTTCAAAAAATGTATGAAATTACTGTATATTATAATATTACTGTTAAGAATAAAATAGTTGCTGTGTTGTGTTATTTGAGTCACTTTATCCTGTTGTAGGTGTTTTTATTTTCTATGAAAGTGTTAGTCTGGTACCTCTTCTCTCGCCTGAGCCTCCCTGAGATGAAGGTGAGGAAGAGGAGGAGGAGTTGGAGGAAGTCCTTTGTAATATGGCGTCTAAAGACAGCTCTGATCGCCGAAGGTCTGGGTTACTAAATAACGGAACAAACAGTAAAAATAACACAGTGTCAGTGTTTATTTAAAGTTTGAGCTAAACCTCCACAGATAAGTGCAGTTAAAAGCCTGAGCACCTGGCCCGTATGAGCTGAGAGCCTCCTCGAGATCCCACGCCTCCATTAGGAGAGTTCTTCCGGACCAGAGCTGGAGAGATGGAGGTGGTCCTCTGAGGAACCTGCACACAGACACATGACTAAGCACAATACTACACAAATATGCACATGCTAATAGTACACAGCACTCTATGACTCTCAATTAATAATAGAGCAACAATAATAAACTGAATTAATGTGAAGTTATGTGAATTAGGTGAGAAGAGTGTGGAGAGACATTCAGAAAATTATTGGTGCTAGGAAAAGGGTTGTCAAAATATAGAAAATCAGATACTAATCGATTTTAAAACTAGTATTGACACTAGATATAGATAGAGAGATAGATAGAGCAAGGAACAATACTAAAAACGTCACTTTCACAGGACAGAAATTAATCTCTAGAAATAAATCTATAGAAATGAATAGCTTTAGAATGATCTTGAGATGTATTAGAACAAGTATAAGAGCACACAGACTTGTATACGCCCATGGACAACTAAAAATTACATTCTATTGTCTAAATAAAGGATGTTTTTTATTATCATGGTGGTATTGGAGAGTGGTACGGTATGGAGAAACTTGAACTCATAATGAATCATGCTTCATTAAGGCAATTAGGGTGTACCTATTATAAAGTCTAACCACATAAACACATAAATCAATCACTTAACCAAGCTATTCTCTGACCTTGGGTGGCATGTCCTCATCTCTGAGCCAGGCTGTCCTGTCCCGATCACGTTCCCGCTCTCTCTCGCGGTCTCGTACGGGCACGGCAGCGGCGGCGGGCGTATCTGAGGTGGGGTCGGAGTTTTGGCGAGGAATTTCAGGTCTCGCAGAGCCCCGTTCGCCAATGCCCTCGTTCAGAGCTGATCCGGTCTGATCCTGAAGAGACTGGGACCCGGACATGGAGCTGGAGTGGGTCTTCACTGGGACTAGGTGAGCCATCTGATAACATGGAAGTATTATTTTTATTATCATTAAACCAGGCTGTTATGTTAGATGGATTATGGAGTAAGAGGCAGAAAAATATGGAAATAGTGAAAAAGTAAGGCACTGAATATAAGGCACTATTGGTTTGGCAAAAAGGAAGGAAAGATTTTTGGAAGAAATGTTGTTGAAACATACAATATTGTGGAAAAGTTAAAGGTCTTATGATACGCAAAACTGACTCTTGTGAACTTTAAGTGATGTTATGGTGCTCATAAAAACATACCTTGAGTTTCGTTTCATTCGCACATGTTCAAGTAACCCTTAAATAAGCTCAAAATGCTCTGTTCTACCTTATGACATTAGGAAGTGACAATTTTCAAGTTAACTACCTAAAGCAACCTTTAACTTTTTGATCAGTAGAAATTGGCATTTCCAGGGCTGAAATTACCCAAATGATTCTAATGATAGTTTAAAATACAGTGGAGCACTTCCTGTATTACCACATGACATCAAAAGGTGTTTTTCGTTTGAGAAAAGAACAAGTTTTTGATGATGAAACAATATTATAACATAGCTTAAAAAATAGTGTACCAGTAATATGGGTGCTTTAAAATCCTAAAATAACAGGTGAATAAGAACTAGACTGAAGGTGTTCTTGGTATGACTATGGTGGGAATGTCATTTCACTAAACAATCCATTAAGTTTTCCACATTATTATAATTTTCGATGCCTTTAAGTTCAGTATGAAGGAGGAGGCTTGTGGTCAGACCGGCGCTCTGCTCCCTGTAGTCACACACCTGAGGCTCTAGGGGGCGTTGTACGGGAGGGGTGCTGCTGAAGGACTCGGAGCGGGGAGGGAGGGAGGGGTCGGAGATACGGTGGGACGCTTTGTGCTGCACGGCTGGAGAGCTCTGTCTGTTCAGCTTAGATCTCTCCTCCACCTGAGGATAGGTCAAATCACCGTTATCGACAAATCACACATGCGTAAAACATACATATACACAAGGCACTTAAGGCTATTACTACTTCCTACTATTACTACTAGGCCTGTCATGATAACTGAAGCAAATGACTACTTAAATACAGACTGTGTAACTTTTCTGGTGGACAGCCCGTTCACTGTTGTGCTCAAGGAAAGGTTATTTCTTCACCTGGGATGTTTCACAGTAAGGCACTGAAAATGTCTATCTCCATGGAGACAAACTGGTGACACCAAAAGGCCAAGCTACATGTCAGATCTGTGAAAAGGTGAGTCCGCTCTCAGTAAGAATCATAGACTGTAAAGAAGTGGACTAAGAAAGTGTGACGTCACCAATAGTGTTCAGCTCCAGTCAAATGAAGCTCATGGAGGTTTGGAATTATGGGGCAAACTTGGAGTTGAGTTCCATATTAGGGATAGGAATTCATTTATGGAGAAAATAGTAAAATAAAAACATCATGCAGACCAGGTTAATATGAATGAACATCTTCCTATTTGGAATGTGGCGGCAAGCAGTTTTGATATGTCCATTTATATATAAAGTCTATGGTAAGAATACATGTTTTTCAATCTATTTTAGCCATAAAAACAAAAATAATACTGTGGAACAATCCAGGCAAAGCAGACTCATTTATGGAAACACAAACGTAGCGGACCTTCCACCAGAAATGTTACATAGTGCCTCTTTAAGTCTCAAAAGTCAAGTCAATGTAATAATTATCATCACAGACCTAAACACTATTAAAACCAGGGCCGACCAGACTGTCTTAAACTCTATGGGAAAACAATAATGCTACATGTATGACTGGTTACATAAGTTAAGCCACACGGGTATTTTTGTTTTGCAAGATGTTTTCTCCACTTCCATCTATAAAAATGCTTTTGAAAGGTTAAGACTGTAGGCTTATCCTGGGTTTAAGAATACATCACAGCATTCTATAGACCAGGAGTGAACTGCATGTGAAAAGGGAGATTTTGTACAGTAACTGGATTCCTACATTAAGATAATGGATCTTTTCACTTTTACAAATGATCAGATTCAATATTAATGTTTTTTTTTTCTGGTTTAATATCCAAATTGTATGACCAACTGGCACAAATATTTGCTCCAGATGGCTTCTTGCATATTTTTTTGTATTTTGCTGTTATTGTACTTTGCTGTGCAACAGTAGAATTTCCCCATTGTAGGGCAAACATTGCTGTTTTATCTAACCTTACAGGACATTATATTAATTCATTACAAAATATGTTAAAGGTGCACTATTTAACTTCCTAGGGGGATGGTTCACCACCTGGAATATTCCTTTAAATGTATCCATCTTGTATATATTCAATTAAAGTTGTTTTTATTGCATGCATTCTTACTGTGAGTGGGGTCACCTCTCCATAGATCTGGCCTGTAACTTATCTTAGTGGTGTCACATGCTTGTTTTTATGGAGTCTAATACTAATACTATGTTGTGGTGCGTCCCAGGCAAAGCAATCTCTCATGAAAGACATCTCTATGAAAAAAGTTACACAGTGCACCTTTAAGTTACAACAGAATCAGCAGTATATTTCTAATAGTTTTGAAGCAATAAAAAACATATAATACATTTGTAGCCTGCTATCTACATCCACATAGAGGTAAAACAGTCTGAGGTTGGTTTCTGGTTTAGAATTAATTTGAAATCTAAATTAGAAAAGACCCCATTAAAAGAAATATAGGACTAGTTTTGAGCAGGGCAGTCTCGTAAATGTTACCTTACTTGACTCAGACTGAGTTCACACGTGCTACAATTCAAACTCTGTGCAGGGAAATCAGAAAGCTTCTCTGGTTTGTTTAATCAGATTATCAGATTATAGAGAAAGCTCCAAGGAACGCTTCCAAATCCTACATTTTTTACACAAAACAGCCACAGAGTCAATGCTAGGTGAGGATTTGTCTAGTACTATAACTGTGCTGTGTCATAACTATAGTGTAAAGTAAATTTGCAGACACACTAAAGAGGGAAGCTTTCTGTAATCCCACACAATCCCATAATCTACAAGTGATTTCAAAAACAACATTTTACAGTTAGTAATCTATCTACAAATATATAAGCATTCTATACTATTTACATTCAAAGAGCAGTGTTTTGAAGCAAGGTTTTAGTAAAATAACTACAATTGAAGGCACTTGAACAAAAGGAAGAGATGTAAGAGTTAGCCTGGTACTACTGAAAACCTAGAAGAGACAGAAAAGTTCATCAAATCCCATCATGTATAGTAAAAAAAAAAACTTGATATGGAAATATACACTAATAGAGCAAAACTAAATGACATTGCCTATTACTATAATTTTGAATAGTTTAGACAGATACTATTGGAGCTTGCTGATAATGACATCATGGGGGTGTTTTCCTATGTATTTCCATGGCAGAATGTTCATCAGTTACCATGGTGACACAATGCACACATTAATAAAAATGTTTTTAGATCATCTGGAAGTTCAAGGAAAAATACAAAATTGATTTAAACAACACTTTCAGGAGCATGCAATCAATAAAAGCGTTCATGGTCCTGTTTAGGAGTTTGATTTTCAACAAAAAAGATGAGACTGACTAACTGAAAAACTTTTGCTAGCTAATACTAACAACAGCTTAACACCACAATTCATCTCACTTGTTGTACTTCCGTCTAAGTTAGCTTTTCTGATCTGATCGTGTTAAAGGAAGTTCAGATTAAAGTCTAATTTGAGTAACAGAGCTTCAAACAAGTTAGAATTACACCCCCAATGTTGATGCCATCAGCTCCAAAATATCATTTGCAAGATCTGAAGTTCTGAAAATAAAAAAAATAATGCTAAACCAATATTTTTTTTATTATGCTGTTCAGTGTATATTGCCAGTCAAAAAGTTATTTTTTCTGCTTGATTTCTGGAGGGAAAATAAGGTTCTATAATATCTACAGACAGATAATAGCTGAACCATGTTATTAAGATGATGAAGAGAGGGACCGTGTGTGTGTTAGTAATTTGTCCACCACCACTTAATCAGTACCCATCACCAGACTGCGAGTCAAAGGGCTGAATGACTGACCTAAGATGGGCTCTGACTGGTCAGGTTTTCGATCACATCATCAATGGGACAGGTCTTGTTTGGGGCGGGGGTGGGGGGTGGGGGTTGGGCAGAAGGCTTCATAAACCTAAACTACATTTAAATACTATACTTTAGTGATGGAAATCCCCTTTGGAGCAGAGACTGTGGTTTAAATTATGTACAAAACATTTTTGCTTTGCAAATCTGAACAGAAATTTATAGTCATTTTATGTTATTTTAGTAAAAGGGCAACTTATTTCTAAAATTATAAAATGAGATATTACTAATATACATGTAGTTATTTATATAATCATTAAAGATACAAACATTGTTTTTGAATGATTAGAGTGGTAGGGGGAGGGGGGAGGGGGGTACAGGAGTGCCTCAATGAGGTGAGGAGCTCCGTCGTGGGGCATTAGGGGGCATAAAATATTCAACTAGAGAATGCCTCCTTACATCATTCACAGAATGGTTCTCAGACAGGGCCTGCTTCAGTAGAGCAGCAGAGGCTGAGAGGTCTATCAGAGAAGAACTGCCTTTCATACCATCAGGATGGGAGAACAAGTTACTGTTACTGGGAACCTTCAAGAAAATTCTTTTGAAGCAGTGAGGTGAGGAGCCCTGTCGTGGGGCATTAGAGGGCATAGAACATTCAACTAGAGAATGCTTCCTTTTGTCATTCACTCTCACATCCCTACTAAACTCTACAAGATGGAACATAGATTGGGATCTGGCTTGTGACTGGGGTAAGACCTGTGCACCGGAGTGTGTTTTTTTGGGCCCCGGGGAACCGAAAGGCTCATCAGTACAGTCTACATCTACTCGGCTGGAGGGTGCATTTATTCTGTTCTGAGGAAGGGCACTATGGGAAAGATGGTGAGGGTGACACTGTATCAGGGTGTCATAGTCGGGAGAGAAGGCAGAGGACAGGGAGTCAGTGCTGGAGAAAAAGGGGGAGGAGGGGGAGTTCAGGGGGGAGGGGCTATGGGAGCGCCTCTGCAGACACTCAGCAGAATGGTTCTTAGACAGGACCTGCTTCATTAGATCAGCAGGGGCAGAGGCTGAGAGGTCTATCAGAGAAGAACTGCCTTTCATACCATCAGGAGGGAAGAAGAACTTACTGCTACCGGGAACCTGCAGGAGATTACTTTTGAAGCAGTGAGGTACGGAGCCCCGTCGTGGGGCATTAGAGGGCATAGAACATTCAACCTGAGAAAGCCTTCTCATGTCATTCACACCCACGCCCATACTATTATCTACTCGGCGGCAGGGAGACTGGGATCTGGCTCGTGACTGGGGTAAGATCAGTGGGGAGACCTTTTTGTGCCCCTTGGAGCTAGAAGGCTCATCACTACAGTCTACATCTACTCGGCTGGAGGGTGCGTTTATTCTGTTCTGAGGACAGGCACTAACCAGTTTGACCTGAGCGGGAGCAGGTTTGGAGGAGGGTCCAGGGCTCTTGGGGCCCTCAGGGGCAGACACAGGCCTGTCTCTGGGCTTGTCTCTGCTGGGGGGCTCTGCAGAGCCCCGTTTAGGGTGCTCTCTCTGGTTCTTACTGGGTCCCTTATTGTGCCTCTGTCCTGGGGGCTTGTGTGGCTCCTCTGTGTGCCCTGGGCTCTGCTCCTTCTGATTGACTCTTTGGGCTCTTAACTGTTTGAGCTGCTGGCTGATCTCCTGCTTTAGCCCTGAGTCTAAGGCCTCTGTTGATATGTGGATACTGGGGATGGGCCATGGGCCCTCGGAGGCTCTGCGCCTCGGGGCATGCCCCTGTGGTGCAGATTGAGGAGGAGGCTGGTCGAAGGAGTGGTGATGCTGAAGCTTGGAGTGGGGAGGGTTACCAAGCTGTGGTTTCTGGACCTACAAGTCAGAGTCATAACAGTGTGAACAAACAACTCAACAAAAGAACATGATTAAATTACACTAAAGGTGTGTATGCATTGTAGCTCAGTTTTAAGGGTTTTTTCTAAAAAAGAAATTATAGCACTAGCCTCCTGCTTTTACCTGCAAAAAAATTCACACCAATAAACCAAGCAGACTTACAAAGCAGAGATTTGGAGTCCATTAAACATTTTTGGGTACAAAGAAAATAAAAATGAGTGGGCACTCAGGCATACCTCTTTGGCCCAGGCGGGCTTGTCATTAGGGTTGGGCACATCCTTGTAGTGGTAAAGCTGTCTCTTGTCCACCTGTCTCCCTTCCTGTTGTTGTTGTTGTTGTTGCTGCTGTAGTGACACGAGGTAGGCCCTCTCCTGCTGCAGCTGCCTCTGCAGACGCTCGGCCTGACGCTGCTCCTCGATCTGCTTACGCTTGTACTCCTAAAACACACTCACAGTGAGAGGGGCTACAGTGCACACAGAGAGATACATACAGAGAGGGTTCATACAGAGTGGGAGTACATACAGAGAGGGAGTTCATACAGAGAGGAAGTACATTCAGAGAGGGTACATACAGAGTGGGAGGTACTGAACAGGTACAGAAAGGGGCAGATACAGGTATAGAGGTATAAAGGTATAAAGCAGGGGAGGTACAAAGTGGGGACAGAGGTATGGTGAAGTGAATGGTGTTTCGGGGTAAAATAACTAAATTACCATACACAATACTAGCTGTTGAGTACTGTGCATGTTGTTAAAGTTTGTTGTTACTGGAATGAAAGGTCATCTATTCAAGCTGCCCAAGTAATAACACTGAGCAAGAAACTGGCCTACTACTGCTAATAGCTATGAATAATGACCAATTGCCACATTTTATTTACTTTATATGTTTAAAGGGCCACTTAAGAACATGCAGCAGTGATGGGGGTTCACAGCACAGGCACAGATAGAGGGCTGGGTTTGGTCAGGTTACCAGCAGTAAAGCTTGTTCCTGCAGAAGCTGTTGTTGAAGAATCTCTAACTGCCTTTGCTCTTCCTCCAACTGTCTACGGATATACTCCTGAGCAGCATGTCAGCGAAGAGAGAGAGACGGAGAGAAAGAAAGAAAGAGTGAAACAGGCAGTAATTTAGGAAAGAACATTTTAATAGGAGTCAAAGAGAAGAAAGTTGAAAAAAGATACAATACAGCTGAAAAGATGTAAACAGACAGACAAATGTACCAGAAAAGGCACATCTCAAAGTGGGAGCAATGATTCCTAGCTGTAGTTATCAGTAGAATGTTATAGTATTGTTCATAGATCTAAAACATGTTTAAAAGAATGATAAACAATACAAAAGTGGCAGTTGTAGAGCAGAAATCCCTTAAGCAGAGGGTTAAGGGACAGTATTTCAATATGAATTTCATTAACCTAAACAAGGCAGACACTGAATAACACAACCACACAAAAAAACAGTCAAATCTGAACTCTGCACTAAACCACATGGATCAATGACGATTTGAAATGACTGGACCTTGATTCAATTCAAATTAGTTACACAGCCCAAGTAGTGTAGAAAGAATAGTCCTTATTGGTATTTTACATATTTGAGAGAGTTATGACGGCTTACTCTCTGACGGGGGCAAGAGCCAGTGTTCCCTATATGTTGTACTTCGGCATTAAATATTCAAAAGCTAAATTCACAGATGTTGTATTACAGCAACAAAATCTATATTGATTTTAGCTGCCCCCATCTGTATTAAATATTACAGGGTTATATCCTGAAACCCAGCTATAAGAAATAGAGTGCTCTGATCACGTGCATATAGGGAGTACAGTACAGCACAGACCTGCTCTCTCTCGGCGTGCCTCCTCTCCTCCTCTCGACGGAGCTGCTCCAGTTCTTCTAATCGTCTCTTCTGTTCTCTCTCCTGTTGTTTTCGCAGCCCGCGCTCTCGCTGTTGTTGCTATAGACAAACACAGAAATTATCCTTTGTATCATTATACTCATTTGTGTTGACAGAATATAGGTTTGTTATATAGGTTTGTCTTATGATATCTTAATGATATTGAGATTTAAAGAAGGCCTACTGTGCTTGTGCCTGCTATACTGATCATTGTTATATCATATCTTATATCTTATATCATATATTATCATTTGCATAATTTAATTTACAATATTCATCTAAAAAGAAACAAGTCCGCTGACTTCCATGTTAGAAAACAGCAGAGCCCAATGGGAGTTGACATCGCATTACAAAACAAGAATCATGCAGCTGTCGGTACCTCCGATGGAGAGCGGCAGATCAAGCTAGCGAGAAGCATTTTTTTCTTTTCTACGCAACACTGCTGAATCTTACGCATAGTAAGAAATAAAGGAATTTAAAATTAAGAAAATTAAATTGGAGGACTAAGTAATAAGCAATATGGAATCTTGAAAGTGAAAGATTAAAGATTGCTCAAACATGCACAAATCACTCCAAACACAATTTCAGTTGAGTACATGGTGAGAAAAGACAATTATAATATGGTTAAAAGCTCTAAAATGTCAATTTTGCACAATGATGTTATGAAGTACTAGTACGAGTCATAGAGATGTAGTGTATCATTGTTCATCAAACTGTACCCTTCAAACAATGTACCTGCCACATGAGGTACTATGTAATAAAAGCATTATCCAACTAATTTAATGCCTAACCTCAACTTTTTCTACCCTGCATTTACAATGCTGTTACAGTGTAAGAGATGTCCATTTATGTCCATGTCCAAAAATATTTAAACTTACGGTAGTAGTTGTGTGTATGTATGTATGTATGTATGCATGTATGTATGCATGTATGCATGTATGTATGCATGTATGTATGCATGTATGTATGTATGTATGTATGTATGCATGTATGTATGTATATATGTATGCATGTATGTATGTATGTATGCATGTATGTATGTATGTATGCATGTATGCATATATGTATGTATGCATGTATGCATATATGTATGTATGCATGTATGTATGTATATATGTATGTATGTATGTATGTATGCATGTATGTATGTATGCATGTATGTATGTATGCATGTATGTATGTATGTATGTATGCATATATGTATGTATGCATGTATGCATATATGTATGTATGCATGTATGCATATATGTATATATGTATGTATGCATGTATGTATATATATATATGTATGTATGCATGCATGTATGCATGTATGTATGTATGTATGTATGCATGTATGTATGTATGCATGTATGCATGTATGTATGTATGCATGTATAAAAGCAAGACTCCATCATGATCGCACTAAACACTGTCCATTAAATGCCTTTGGTCACACAGCCACTTAGCCGTGAGTGGAGCGGTCGTGTTAGCGGACTTGAGTCATGGTACTTATCAGTGCTTAGGGGAGGCTCACCCTGTTGGCAGCCCAGAGAGGGGCCTGGTTTTGGGCAGAGGATTTCCTGGACTAAGCCTGCTCTCTGGAACGGAGACACAGGCACTGGGGAGGCACTGTGAGTGTATGTGTAACTGTCTGCTCGCTCCAGTCCCAAAGAGGAAAAGAAAGTGATTAATTACAGTAGAGGACACAGAGGACTGAGAAGGAACTCTGCATGGTACTTTGAATCAGTACAGCAAAGAAAGATTGAAACTATGTGAGGGAAGAAAGTTACTAATAACAAATACTGTTACTGATATTTTTTGTTACTGTACAAGTCCGATTGTTCTAGTCTAAGCCACATCCGCTACTTGCTATATCAAAATTGGCCAGAGCTCAGAGAATATGTGGTTTGATTGATGACGATTTGTCTAAAAGTGTGGCCTAAATAATGTTAAAAACTAGCACTTTGACCATTATATTTACTTAAGAATAAATTTGATAGCAGTTCTTGTAATTGTGTACATATGTATTTGTAATGTATGTAATCATGACACCCATAGTTTTAAATGAACAGACACTGAGGCTAAGTTTATAGCCATAATTGGCCCATTAGATTAAAAAAAAACATATTTGCGTATTTTAGAAAAATCTTTTGTACTGTTGTCACTACTGTAATCTCTCCAGACTTATTATGAGTAGTATGCAAATCAAACTGATGTAATAAAAGTTATTTTTATATCAAATTTGTACCAGATGGATTTCTAAATAAAGATGACTATAAAAGATTGCTGTTGGTATTTTAAATGCCTGAAACCAGACTTGCACTTTGGAGAAAGGCTTTTTGCTAAACCTGGAGTTGTGTCCCGCCTCTGGCGTGTTCTCTGAAATGAGGGAGAATTCTCTGCTTTTCCCATTTGGGCATTCACAGACACAAACACAAACCTGCACGAACACTCTTCAACAGATTTTAAGCAGGTGATGTCTTAAAGGCACATTATGTAACTTTTTTGCTGCAGGATCTATCGCCTGCTTCTCATGAAAATGTTATTGCTTTGCCTGGAATGCTCCTCAGTATGGTATAAACTTTAATTTATTCAATTACATGTGTTTTTAATTTTTTATTGCAAAACACTTGAGAGTTGGTTTAGTCCTGGCCTAGTTCCAGGTTTAGTCTCAGTTTGGTCAAATCTGAATGTGGCGTATATGCGTGAAAAGCACTCCAACTACTTATATGACTATCGATACTGATAATCTTACATAAATAGGACACCACCAGATTTGTCAATTCCAGGGCTGAAATTATCCAACTTATTCTAGAAAAGGTGTAAGATGTTTAAAGATACATTTGGAGCACTTTCTGTATTACCATATAACCTTACAAGGTGAAACAGAGCATTTTCTGTTTGAGAAAAGAAAAATGCAGGGTTTGTGTGTTTTACATGCTTGAATGAAACAAAACACAGCTCTAGGTCTGTTCTTGATGGAAACAACATTATAACATAGATCAGAAGACAGCATAAATGTGCCCTTTAAGTTACCTCTTCCAGCCTCCTCCTCTGCTCCTTCTGCTCCTCTATGCGTTTCTGCCTCTCGGCCAGCAGTAGTCTCTTGTGCTCTTCATTTTGCTGTTGTTCTAGCTGCTGTCGTCTCTGGGCCTCTGATCTCTTATTGGCCAGCTGTAGGCGCAGGAAATCCCGCCTCAGGGTCGACTCACCGGGGATATTGATGATGGAGCTACAAACAAAATTTATAGTTCAAGTTATCTGAAACAACAGTGGAGCATTTGGGGTTATTTGTGAGTCCACTGACCTTGGTTCTCCCATATCTCTGTCTTCATCTTCTTCTTCACTACCGCTGTATTCGTATTCTGTTTCATCTGAAGAAACAAAAAACAATAAAAGTCAATGGGGCTGTATTTTAGGCAGGTCAAAAGTGAAAATCAATACTTAAAGGTCCTATACTACGGAGTTGTGTCTTTTTCTTTCAATCGCACATGCTTGAGTACGAAATTATTATTACTCTGCCCACATCTCCAACGCTCAAAATGCTCTGTTCCACCTTGTGATGCCATGAAGCAGTAGTCTTCAAATGAACAGCAATCTTTCAGTTTAGTTCAGCGCAGATTGGGAAATCACCCAAATGATTCTAGTGAAAGTGCACAGCGGAGAGCTTCCTGTATTACCACGTGACATCACAAGGTGGAGAAGAACACACAGTCTAAATATGCAAGATTTATGTGTTAAATATGTGTGAATGATACAAAAGACAACTCCAGGTTTCTTTGTGATGAGGAAACAACATTATAACATACATCATCACATTGCATTTATGTATTGCTTTGTGTTCTATAATGGAAATACAACAAAAACAAAGACAAATTTGTTCTATAAAATGTGTGGGTTTTATATACTCTTAAAGGTGCACTATGGGATTTCAGGTGATGGGTTTGTCACCTTGCACATGCTTGTCTCCATGGAAAAGTTATTGTTTTGCATATGCATATTATGGTTTTAAACCTATTCAATCTCCACAGAGACAAACCTGTGATGCCGCAAGACCAATTAACATGTCAGATCTATGGAGTGACACTGCTCACAGTATGAATGCAAATTTTCCATGTTATTTTTGAGCTACTGTATAGAAATGCATATAATTCATAAATGCAAAATAAAAAAGTTTAACGCCATACTGTGAAACATTACAGAAAAAAGCAATACCAGAAAGACTCTACTAGTAAACTAGCCTTGTGTACCTTTAACAGAGTAGGCAAAGTATTTGAAGGGTATTAAAATATGTTTATCACCCCATTTAGAAATTAAAAAACACATAACTTCCATTTTCTCACCTATGTTTATAAACAGCATCTCCACATCTTTCACAGTTTCTATAGAGTTATGAATGGTGACATAAACATGAATTAAAATGTGTTTAATAAGGTGACTATAATGTGCTTTGAACTCTCTCTGCCATATTCTTCTTCAACAAAATATCCTCTCTTTATAGAAAAATCTTGTTGGACCTCAAACATGCTCTGAAATCCATACTATTCTTGTATTTGTACATATCCGTTTTCTCTTGGATGTTAAAGAGGGGCTTTTTCACGCCTATATGACACATAAAGCATTTAGATCACCATGCTACTTTTTATTGTATTGAAAATATTACATGTCTAAACAGGTTTCATACGTTTCTGAGTCTTCCTTCCCTTTGCTCTGTGCTCTAAATCCCTCCCCCTTCAGAGTGCTATCATAACACAATCAACGTGCATCTCACTAATGAAATTACTGCACCTCACATCAGGTTTGTCAAGTTGCTGTGTACAGTTTTGATGTGAAACCACCATAACAGACGTGATGGCTCAAGATATGTTTTTGATGAGAAAACAACATTATAACATAGATCAGCCTTTTAATTCTCTTGGCGTTGTTAACAATGTTCACTCCAAACTGAATTTTACTTTTTAAACATAGATCGCAAGTGTATTTTTTCCCTCAAGATTGTGCAGCCCCACCTTACAGTTTTGAAGCCAACATTCAAAACCAAGTGTCCTATATGTGACAGTTGTACGCCTCTAGTCTTTGCAATGACAGAAACCATCGTGACTTCCACCAAGCGAGATGGAGTTTGCTCAAGCGGCTAATATGGCAGTTTGACAGTTTCTCCACTATAATGCACAGTGTGTGGGTTATGGGGAGAAAGAAAGCTGTAGTTTCTGCCTGAATAAATCTTAGGCCATCGAGACGTTTTGTGTGAGCGATTTTTCACAGATTTGCAGCTGTATATCTTCAGGGTTGATTTTCAAAGTGTCCATTTGCAGTTATGGCATATGTGTGTACTGAGAGCTCAATGGCTTAGTTTAGACCATTATTTTGATCTATATTCAACGGTGTAGTTCTCCTTTCTCTGAACTGGCAAGTCAGATGTATTAAATTGTCTACAGAAGGAACAGATGTAACAGCCCTCCCATTATAAGAACATTTCCAAAAATATAACAGTTTGTTTAAAATTGTCAATCGCTATGGCAAAAATCCTGAGTTGTGATCATTCTGAAACCCCTCAAAAAAGAGCAGCATTTGCAATCAGCTAATTTTTACCATTTAAAGGTGCACTGTGTAACTTTTTTGGTAGAGGGTCCATTACCAGTTTCTCTCCTGGAGATGTTGCCTGGAATGTTCCACAAAATGGCATTATACTCAGTTATCTTTGTGGAGACAGCAGGTCACGCAATAGGGTCAAGTGTCAGATGTCAGAACTGTGGAGAGGCGAGCCCACTCACAGTAAGAATGCGTGTTTTTAAATCAATAAAAAGCCATGCTATTGATTAAATGCAGGATGGATATGTTTAATGCCATCCCAGGACATTCCAGACAAAAAGACAACATCTCCATGGAGTCAAGCAGATGGCAGATGCCCAGTAGAAAAGTTATACAGTTCACCTTTAAATTTTAGTTGTTTGTGTTGCAGTCTTAGTTTAAAACGGCCCCTGGTCTGCTGTCTGGGTAAGTATTGGCCATAGACTGTATATGGAAGTGGACTGAGGGACCTCACACATAGAGTTCAGATGCAGTCATACAAAGCCAACATGGCTAGTTTCAAAATAAGTTCCATATTTGGAAATAAGTATTTGAAAAATGAGTGTGCTCATAGCAACCAAAGAGAGCCAATCAGTAACGGAAATCAATCTCAGGGGGGAAAAGGCACCTGATTTGTCAGTAACTGTTCATATTCTGATTTAGGGACAAAATTGCACAATAAAAACACTATGTAAAATGGTTAATATGAATATTCTAAGATGAAAATGACAATGACCATTTTTCAGTAGAAAGTGGATTGCAACCAGTGCTCACATCTATTAACCAGCTGCGTCTCATATTTACAGTCTATGGTATTAAAGAGTGTATGGTGTTGACTAGCCCCACCTCTCTCCCCTCTCTTCTTCTTGGTGCGGTCGATGTGGTCCTTGAGCTGGATGCGGATGTGCCTCTCATTGGGCAGGTCCTTGATAAACGGGTGCTTCAGGAGCTGCTCGGTGCTGGGCCTCTGGGTGTGGTTCTTCACCAAACAGTGCTCTATAAACGAATGGAACTTCTTTGACCTGGAAACACAGTAGTCACGGTTAGGCCTGTCACGATAACAAAGTCTGAAGCGCGATATGCTTCTATAGAGTTATACTGAGATAAACGATAATATTGAAAGTATTTTAAGACACTAACACAATAACAATAATGCAAGTTAATCCCATTAAACCATTTTTAAATAAACAGTATGAAATAAATAGCAGAATAAAGCAATAATTACCCATAGAAGTTAGTTTTTCAAGTCTCTATAACTCAAATCTTATTCTATTACAAAAAATAAAAATAAAAATACTACACTAAATATTGAGCCCCAAAATATATTATAAGTCTGATATAGTATTTATCATGACAGTCCTGGTCACAGATTCAAGATGTGAGAATTGAACTATGATGAGATTGGGATTTACGTCAATCAGGTAATAGGCTTGGAAAGATATTGAAATTTTGTGTCATGGTTGTCATGGAGATACAGTATGTTTGATGCCATACTGCGGAATATTTTAGCCCAAGTCTTCACATCTCCATGAAGACACACAGGTGAACCCTTGAGCAGAAAACTTTGAAGGGCTTCCAAAAAAAGTTATAGAGGTGATAAGCGTCAGGGGAGTATACAGGTTTTGGTGAAAAGATGGCCAAAAATTTTGTGAAGTCACTCGGTATAAAACGTCTAATATGAGAAAAATAAATAAAGAGATAAATAAAATAAAAATGAAATAATACAAATAAATACTATATATTTTTATTAATAAAAATACATAAATCATATGAGTAATACAGGAAATAGGCAGGCAGTAAACAAACTCACCACTTCTTTGACTTGAGTCTGGGGGCGGGGTTTCGTGGGATGAGGAAGAGGGCTCTCATTGGATGTAATTCACACAGTGCTAAAAAAAACAAAAAAACTAACAGGTGAGAGGCCTAGAGGTGCAGAGGGACAATGTAATTGGACTAAACATAGTTATGGCATAAAGTCAAAGCAGGCTGCAGTTTCCCTGTTACTGATCAATGCCAACTGCCAATACTGATAACATCGTATTCAATTTACACACACAAGTACAGGGCTCTCTGGTTAGTTAAGTGTCTGGCTGAGTAGCATAAATTAGTCAAAGCAATACTGGTTAGAGACTTAGTTGACCTACTCCTGTGATCTTTTAGTCATGTTATAATGCTGTTATCTTCTAAAGAACATACATGGAGTTGTGTTTTGTTTCATTGACATATTTGAATAATACTCCATTATAGGCTATCTACATCTCCAAAGCTCAGAATGCTCTGTTCCACCTTGTGATGTCATGTAGTGACAGTTTGCAAATTAACAGCTACCTTTTACCTTTTGCTTAGTAGAAACTGGCAAACACAGAGTTGAAATTATCCAAATGATTCTAGTGAAGATGTATAGTTAGGAGTTTTTTTCACTTTTGTATACAAATCAAATTTAAACCGCATGTAACTGTTTTTATTATTATTATTTTTAGCTGAAACACATGCACTAGGCACTTTAAAAACTATACCTGTAATCTCTTCTCTTTCCTCTATCTTGGACAGTAAAAATGTTATGCTAAATTATTGACTACATACGTGGAGCTCCTTCTGCCATCTCCAATGCAGTGATCCCCAGAGACCATAAATCACTCTGCAATGAAACAGAAACAGCACGTGAATACAGGCGGTGATAAAACAGCCGAGCTTTTCTTCAGATAATGAGATGGGAGATGGGGCAGGTACCTTGAAGTCATATGTGGCATCTGGATTCTCGTCACAGGCTATGACCTCTGGAGCCATCCAATATGGCGTCCCTATAAAAGTGTTCCTCCTCCCCACTGTGCGGTCCAGTTGTGCCGAAACGCCAAAGTCAACTACAACAAAAAATGAACTAATCAACAACTAAAATTGATGTTTTTATATAAAATCATCTTAAAATAAAATATTTCAAAGCTTATGCTCTGCAATTATTTTAAAAATGTTTCCCTGTTAGACAGTAGTTTGTGAAATAAGAGTCCTGGAAATTGACAATGTATCCATTAGTGAAATGGGGGTCACCGGAAGAAAAGATGGCGAACCATTGTAGGATATTGCAATACAACATGGTTAAAATACAATTATTTAAGGCAGGGGTGTCCAAACTTTTTTCACCTGGGGATGCAAATCGAAACACAGACAAAGCGTAGAGCTGATCGAGGGCCACATACTGGGGTCAATACAGTGAATAATTGAAATCTGTATATTTATAACAGATTACAATGAGCCATCAGTCCTTTATTCAAGCTTATATCCTCAAAAGGACAAAATAAATATTTGATGTTGTTGAGGTAGAGAGATTAAAAAAATATCTGAGCCAAGAAAAATGTGTTTGTGGGCCACATTTGGCTTCTGGGCCATAGTTTAAACTTCTGTGTCGTAAGTAGTTTGAAAACCCATTACAGTGGATATGATGCAGAATATAGTGGTATATAAAAGAGATCTACTAAAAAGAGCAAGGGACTACGACAACTTGAAAGTTCAAGTATAACATTTTGCATGTTCTTCATATAAAAATATGGTGTAAAGAAAGTAAAATAACAAATGTGACAGCCTAAACCATGCTAAAATGCACAACACACAAAGATGTTTATAGAAAATAGGTTACATTGTACTGTGTGCCATTGTTTAGTGTGGACAGTGGAGCATATGGGTGGGCCTTACTGAGCAGACACTTTATAATCCCCTCCCCACTGGGCTTTGGAAACAGTCCCTTCTTCTGCATCTACAGCTATAAAAGGACGAGAGGGCTCAGCAGAAAGGAGGGAGGAATGCATGAACACTCGTGAGGTAGAGGAGGGATTGAAACTGTTGGTCTACAAGATATTATAGAAAATAACCTTTTGAACAATTAGAATAGAATAGTTTATGAAAGCACAAATGTTACACCAAATAGTTGGCAAAAAATAACAAAAACGTGCAATTTGTAAACTTTCAAACAAGGGTATTCATACTTTGCAGTAACATCACGCTAGGGGGTGTTCTACATGTTTGCCTATGGTGGAATGTTCAGCATACTATGGTGACACAATGCACGTTAACAAACACTGTCTTAAAAATGTTTTGACAGTCAAACTCAAGAAAAAATAGGAAATGGATTTAAACAGCACATTCTCAGCAGGAGCTTGTGATTAATACATGCATTAATGGTCCTGTTTAGGTATGTAATTTTCAACAAATTACATGAGAATGACTAAATGAAAAACTTTTTTAAATCTAAAAACCAATAAAAATGGTTTTCAGTGTTAATTTCCTGAACATAAACAAAACATTGAATAATTGCCAAATTATGTCTTCTTCCAAAGTCTGAATTCTGCTCCAAACTCCATGCTTTTACTGACAGAGAACTGGCTGTCAATGTGCTCAAAGAGACCCCACACTGTGCACATGCCCTTTTAGTTGTCGAGATAAAAAAATATATTAATAATAAATTTGAAATGCTGTTAGCCTTCGCTCTGACCTAGTTTGACCTCAGCGTTTTCCGTCAGCAGCACATTCTGGCCCTTGATGTCTCGATGGATGACTTTGTGATGGTGCAGATGAGTCAGACCCTGTGAAATCAAAGAAAACAAATTAGGACTCATATTTCAAAGTGTTCATTAAAAACTGCAACTAACAAGATCTAAAGATACAAGATCAGACCAAAGTATGTTTGGACTAACTTATGGTGTTGCTGAAGGTAATTATAATGAACTGTTTACATAGATAACCCTCTATTTTTAGTCTGGCTACAACTCCAAGCCTCAAAATGTTCTGTGCCACCTTGTGATGTCATGAAGCGGCAGTTTTCAAGTTCAAGAAAGAAAATACAACTCCAAGTATGTTTGTCAAGAGGAAACAACATTATAAAATAGATCAGACAATAGCGTAGTAAAGGTCCTTTAATTTTAAACAATAAGAAAAAGTCTATGTAAACGTATCTTTGCATTTCTACACCAACCTCCTGACTTCTCTTCTGCTGCCTCTGATCTGAAATTGACTTTTATCTTGACAGCCAGCACAGCAGTTTGTCCTCTCTGATGCCTTTTGGAAACTTGTACAACCATGAATTCAATCTTTTTGGGGAATCTGTGTAGTTCGCCCACTCCTTATCTCGCCACAATCTTTTATTGTTGTGTTTTGTGCTCAGGGCAATCGCCTCAAACACAGCGCTCAATATCTCGGCGTCTTGTCAGAAGCTCAGAGCCCTGCCATGAACACAGGCGGCCATTTCCTTTTATCCTCTTTGATTTCTTCTCTCAAACCGAAGCTCTTGTTTTGTTTCAAGTTCTGTGCTTCCTCCCCTCTCGATCTGATTCATCCTCTTGCTCTCCCCGCTGCACTTGATCTGCCTTATCTTACACTGCAGTTCAATGTTGTTTTTTTTCACTGAATATTTTTTGTTCATTGCTTTTAGTGATCTGTATTGCACACACTAAGATGATAATACTGGGTGATATTATGACCAAAGTAGTAATCCTGTAAGATTTGTTGTTTCTGCTGTAGTTTTTCATAATTTCTTTCTTTATGTTTTTATTTTTTACTTCCCCATATAAGCCTTGTAAACCATTTTACTGTTATAGATGGCAAAGACATTGTTTCTCCTTACCCACCTCTTCTATATAGCCAAGGTATATTTTGTATTACTATATTTCTATATTTTATTTGTACTTGTACATATACATTTGTATAATTATGCCTTAATTGACACCAGTCTTTCTATTTTTGCTACCTTAATTATTACCATTTATATGCTTGTTATTTCTTATTTTATTATATTGTGATGTGTGAGCTACTATGTCCAAGTAATTTCCCTTGTGTATCAATAAAGCTGGTCTAAGTCTAAGTACATTAAAACTAATGTCACAGTGAAAAGTCCACCCTGAGCGTCTAACATATAATCAATCAGGGCAAGTAAGCTATTAACATTAAATAAAGAGCTAACAAAGGAATTCCCCCTCAGCAATAAATTAAACTGACTTGAACTTTAAAGCAGGCCGTATAAAGTCAACACAGTAAAAGGTATTCTCCTTAGTCACAGAGTATGGGCGCAGAAATAGCACAGAGAGAGCTGTGTTTGTTTGAATGGAAAACGACTCACCCGAAGGATCTCTCTGCAGATGTAGGCGGTCCACTCCTCTTTCAGACTGTTTCCTTTGGTGTTTTTGATCAGGTCTGTGACTGAGCCTGCTCCACAGAACTCCATCACCAGCTGAACAAAAACAACACAAGAGATTAATGTGGATTCAAAAAAAGTAAAGTAAAAGTAAGTAAAGTAACGCTACATGATTACAAACAGGAAATGAGCATGGGCAGGATTCTGGCTCCATCAACTTGCCCCTCAAAAAACATGATTAATTTCACTGTTTTGTCCTAAATCAAGATATGAACATTAATAATAAACCAATGAGGCGCCTTTTTTCCCTGAGGTCACTCCTCCTATTGTTAGTGTTATGAACTAAGGCACCATCCACACTAGTACATATTCGAGTCGTTTTCGTTGCGGATGCAGTGTTCGTTCACACTAATCTGATTGAAAACGGCTCCAGAGACAAAACGATCTTGTGCCACCAGCTCCCACAAATTCTGTGTGGACACCTGAAAATGCTGATACGCTGATGTAGGTCTATGCGCTGCAAAGTAATTTACCGCCAAAACGCTAAGAGGCTAGAATATATGTCCATTCCTATATGCGGTCTGTGTGTACGACCTGCAGATGTATAATCTCAGAAGAGTTTAACATGAACTATCTCCAATGCATAGAGGCATAGAACAGACTCACCATTAGCAGAACACCCCTCTGTCATAGAATGAACACATATAATCCACTGAGTTGTGTCCTTTAGTTTGACAGAAGCTGAACTGCATCAGCGCACAATAGCAAGCTGTTTTTTGGAGCGTTAGTTTATGTAAATTAGCCATGCTATTTAATCCATTTAAATTTTGTTTTTGTAAAACGTAAAGAAATATGCTCACAGCTGTGTGGATAGGGAAGGTTTGTGGACTCAGAAACGACGTGTCTGGACGTAAATCATTTCCGATACGGTGATTCGTTTCAGTGTAAATGTAGCCTAAACCTCCCTCGCTCCTGACTGGCTCTTTGATACTTGTGGTAACAATTACTATGAAACTCCAGATTTGCCCCTTTAATTTCCAGTATCGATGAGCTTCATTTGACTGAAACTGAACGTTATGGGTGACGTCACACTCCTTCAGTCCACTTCTTCACGCAGTCTGTGGTTGCAACTAATTATTTATTATTTAGTAACAGTATCAGTGCAGTTATATTGTATGTACAAAAATGTGAAAGTGTAATACTAAAACTGTTATACTAAAACTCTGATATTCAACATCATAACTGAATTGCTGTTTAATCCAAAGGGAGTATTGTAAGTCTGGTGTTACTGGAGCTGGTGTTACTGGAGCTAGAAATCGAATAAGTAAACATACCCATAGCTGGTCATCCATCCCTGGAGGATTCTTCTTGATGAAGGCTCCATAATATGTAGCAATGTTTCTATGGTGACTGTACTTCTTCAGCATGTTAATCTCAGCTTTAATCTCCTCTTCCTCCTCCTGGAAAAACAAAGACAGACAATTAAAACAAATAATAAAGTAAAACTGCAAACTCAATCACTTTTAAGGGGATTTTTATTTGGAACTAATCAGACTCAACACTTGAGACTATTTTCATATTACTGGTCAGTGTAAACCTGCAGTCTCATTAACTTCCTCCAAATCTATCACATGGGACTGATTCACCATTAAGAATACTGACTAGTGCAAACTAGTGCTGTCATGATACACAGACTTTAAACTTGATATCACCATTAAGGAAAAGGCTCGGTACTTAATATCTACTTCAATGCCACCTTCAAAATTAAAAAGACTCTGTAAAGTATTATGTAACAAAACTAAAATTGACCATGACTATTCTAAAATACTTGTTCAAATGAGAATCCAGTTTCAGTATTAGTTTAAAAACAGATATCTGGGTACTTTTTTGGTGACTCTAATAAAAGCTTCTGGCCATCACAGTTTAGCCCTGGTTAAAGGTGCACTATGTAACTTTTTTGGTGGATGGTCAACTACCTGCTTGTCACCATGGAGATGTTATTGCTTTGCCTGGACTACATGACAAAAATGTGTCTGTGTCCATGGAGACAAGCAGGTGGTGGTAGAAAGCAAAGTTAAAGGTCAGATCCATGGAGAGGTGAACCCGATTTTTGATCAATAAATCAGTGGTCTTCAGATTCTAGAATGTGATGATGTCATACTCTCAGATGGGGGGCAAGAGGCAGTTTTTCCTATTCATTACGTTGTGCTTTCCTATGAAATATCCAAAAGGTAAACAACATAATGACATTTTTCTTTATGTGAGCAATTTTACTTTTAGCTTCCCCCCATCTGTGTGAAATAATACTGGACCTAGATGACGTTGTGATGTCATCAGAAACCCAGCAATACATAATTTAATGAATGACGGTTTATGCCTACTGTGGAGCATTTCAAACAAAGCCATTTCTGAGAACCAGGTCACTGAAAAGTTACATAGTGGACCTTTAAAGGGCCCATATACACTATTTTCTGATGTGTTCTGTTTCCTCATCACATGTTTAACACTGAAAAGTGCATATTTAGGCTGAGTTCTAACTAAAACTAACTAAAAACACATTGTTCCACCTTGTGATGTCATGTAGCAATGCAGGAAGTGCTCCACTGCATTTTTAAACTAGAATCATTTGGATGATTTCAACCCTGGAACTGCCAATCTCAACTGATTAAAAAGGTAAAAGTTAGCTGTTAACTTCAAAACTATGACTATAACATGACATCACAAGGTGGAACTGAACATTTTGAGCTTTGGAGATGTAGACAGCCTAATAATGCAGCATTATTCAAACATGTGTGAATGAAAGAAAACACAACTAAAGGTACGGTATGTTTTTGATGAGGTAACAACACTATAACATGACTAAAACCTCACAAGAGTCAATTTTGCATAATATAGAACCATTAATCTAGCCTCTTTTTTGGTACCCAGAACAACCCAATATAAAGAGACACATGTCGTAATCCACTTCCCCTGTCAGTGGATATATGACTCTGCCTGGCTGAATCTTGGCAGGTTTCCTTTATTTAAATGTGTAAAACTGCACACAGCTGGACACTAAATTATCCAAAGCTCCACCATTACTTTTTAATCACCTTGTTTTAGTGGGGTACTGTGGCGATGCCAAAAGCAGTCGCACAAAACAAGTCGCTATGGAGACACTTTGTTATTTCACAATTTAATTTCTATTTCATTAGATGCGGCATTTGTAGAAGTCATTCCACGACGCGAGTTATTTAGGGGCAATTTGTGGTTTAATCATCAATACAAGCCATGTATTGAAATGTTGTGTTGTAAGATTACTGCAATGTTTACTGCAATTTCCCATTAAAACAACACCACAGTGAAGGGAGTGCATTGGAATTTGTAAGTATCAGACATGCCTCAGTGCCATTTCACTGCCCTACCAAATGGTTGTGCAGATTATTCAAGTAACTATGGGCCTTAGACAGAGGACAAAAGTTAGTGCTGTTTTTATTAGGTCTATATATATGGCCACAAATGTATGTTTAATTATAGTAACATTTAATTTTAAAAGGGTCTTAAAGGATCCATATTATGCTATTTACTGATCTTATAATGTTGTTTGCTCATCAACATCACACCTGGAGTTGTGTTTTGTTTCATTCCCACATCTTTAACACACAAACATTGCATATTTCAGCAGAGTTCTCCTCTCAGACTGAAAACACTGTTCCACCTTGTGATGTCATGTGGTCATACAGAAGAGCTACACTGTGTTTTTAAACTGTATTTTGGATTTGGATTTGGCGATCTTTAATGAACAAACAGTAAAAGTAGCTGTTAACTTGAAAACTACCACTACATGACATCACACGGTGGAGCAGGGCATTTCAAGGTTGGGTGACAGACTTATAATAAAGGATTATTCAAATGTGTGAATGAAATAAAACACAACTTCAGGTATGTTTTTGATGAGGTAACAACATTCTAACATGGCTTAAAGCTCACAAGAGTCAGTTTTGTGTACTATGGGACCTTTAACATAACAAAAACAAAATATATTTATCTGGGACAAAATAATTTGTTGCATATGTAAGTAGACAGACACATTTTAGCTTCATTGGTCGTTTGTTTCCATTTATACACATTGGTTTGTTCAAAATCTGATGCAATGAGGACAAACTGAAAATGACACAAGAGAGAAAGATAGGTGCCAAACATCAGCTAAATTTCAGTATAATACCGATACCGATATCTGAGCAAACCCGCCAGTATCATTGACACAGCATTGGAACTGATACAACACAAGCCCCTCCATAGTTTTAATATCTTTATGGACTTCACCCCTGCATCGTTTCATTCATTAACTTTTGGCACTTGTTTCTGTAGCGTCTCATTGTTTGGCAGGAGCTGAGAGCGAGGAGTAAAGTCAAGTGAAAGAGAGGGAGGAGGTCTAAATATAGCAGAGATTTCCCTGTCCCTGTGTTACAGTCACTGCCTTCATCGTCCTCATATAATATCCTGCTAACATTACAATATGGCACTGAGGCTGTCCTCATTTAAACCCCGCCACAAAACTAAAGGAGTTCACAGTGACTCATAATTACATTAAGAGTACAAAGTGGACGCGAGAAAGTTAGAGCAACAAAATGAAAGATGATAATGGTTTTAGTGATAGCCTGTTTCACAAAACAATTCAACGCTACTTTAAAATATGCAAAGTTCTGGCAAAAATAGGGCAGACAACAACCACACCACTGATTAAAATAAGATCTACTGCACCTAGCACCTTTTTAGTTGATAAGTTTATCCATACTCGACTTAACTCCAGTAACAGTAACTAATTTTCATGGAGACAAGCAGGCCATTTTACAGTCAGATTTATGGGCGAATCAAAAAGAATGTACTGGTGGTTTTCAGATTGTGAAAGGTGATAATGGCATACTCTCAGAAGCGGGCAAGACACAGTTGTTCATACTGATTACGTTGTACGCTGTAGTCATGAAATCTCCAAAAGGTAAATTCAAAAACACTGAACCAAAGAAGTCAATGTACAGCAAAAATCTGTATTTTGCTTATATTCACGGTGCCATCTATATCGGATATTGTACATAATGTCATCTGAAACTCAGCAACTGTCTTAGCAATAAAGGTAAAAAGCCTGATTGACACTACGTTGACATTGTATTTGTTAAATTTATGCAGCCCTGAGACAACAGTATGTGTGTGTGTTGGCAATAGCTGCAGTCGACTTACCCCTGTGACGTCCATGACCTTGATGGCGGCCAGCTGCCCCGTCTTGACATGGCGGCCCTGAAGAAGCAGATGGAAGACAGAGTTAGTGCTATGGCAAAATGTACTGACTCATGTATAAGGAGGGACATTCATTTACAAAACAATAAGTTAATTTACAAATGAATTTCTTCACCAACAATCAAATTAATTTATGTTAACATACTATTGAACAACGCACACTTTTTGTACCGTATTTTACAGGCTATTAGGCGCTCTGGATTATAAGGCGCACTGTCACTGTCAAATGGTGTATTTTCGAACTTTATTCACAAATAAACCGCACCGGACTTTAAACGAAACACAACAGTTCGATGGGTCAGTCGGACTTTGTTTAGCGAGTTCACGGTGACTCTGGGCTTTGTTCAGTTGTGGCGTGTAGGGAGGGTGCTGTCTGGGACCACTGGATTGTTGGCGTGTTCGCAGTGACTCAGTTGTTCAGTGGCTCAGAAAGGCACATTGGACTTTTTTTGGATCGTTCCTCCGTTCCGTTCCTTGTCGGCGTGGGGTGATGAGTGTGGCTGCAGGTGTGTTTGTGCTGTGTGGTCGCTGTCTGCTCCGTGTGTGTTTGCGTGCACTGTGGGTGGTGTGACTTTGTAATTTACTGAAGTCGTGCTGGGATACCCGAGTGGATTCATGTACAGGACGCTCTAGCTTGCGGGCGCGTGGTCATTTTTTGATGGGGTTAGAGGCTTAAGAACGCATCTAATAGCCCGGACAATACGGTAATATTGTATTTTCAAAATGATGAAGTAGAAAACAAAACTATCCATAGGTTTTAGAGTGACAACATATTAACAATTAACAATTCAAAATAAAATATATCTTTTGCATGGTCAAATGTCAAGGTCAAAATGTCACGTATAAACAGGAGCATGAACCCATGAATAAATATAAGATAATCCTTTTTATGTAGACTTCAAGTTGGAAATAGTCGAACTTAATAATGTAAAGGTAAATGTTCAAATTTTTATATAGCACTTTTCCACCTTCAAGGCACTCAAAGCGCTTTACATCAAGGAACCACTCAGCCATTCGCACACACATTTATACACCAGTGTACACAGACACTGGGGGTGAGGAGGGCATGCCCAAGGAAACAACAACAGTCTCTGAAGTCTGAACTCTGCTCCAAACCACATGCTTTCACTGGCAGACGATTGCTGTAGACCTCTCCGTTAAAAAGACCCAAGCTGATCATTGACGATTACAAACCTCGACCTTGATTAAAATTTGATTACTTGCACAGCCCTTGTTAAAACTATAGACGGCATGGGAGTTTATACAAAATTAGACTACTTAGCAAGCAGTACTTAAACTAAACTAAGTGCATCGAACAAGATAGGAGGGCAAACAAAGAAGCAAGTCCCAATAATGATGTATAACACCATTTGGGACTAAGCCTGGGGCACTGCAGAGAATGGTGCTGACGATAGACTCCAAACACTACTGCCTCATTTGCAAAAACCTCGTGAGCATCTGCGCCGTGATGGAGCAGAGGAGGAGACCAAACCACCAGCGGCCATTACCTCCACCTGTCTATGGAGCGATTAGCATGATCGAGTCTGAGGAGTCCAGCGCCAATCGCACAAACAATCAGGAAATGCCCCAAAACAGATGGGATTAAAACTGTGGTGGCTATGAAAGATTCCCATAAAGGCCGGATCTGAAAAGTGCTTCTAGGAAAAACACAGGAGGACATGAAATATGGAGAAAGACAGGTGAGACCTTCGTCAAAGCACTGCTGCTATCTTGCAAGTGTAAAGTTTGATATTTTCTTTCATTTCATTTCTTTCATTAATGCACTGTAATTATTTTAGATTTAGTTTAGCTTCAGCCTACTCCTGGTCATAAATAAATTTCATTATCAGATTTGAGTGGTTGTAAATGTTGTTTTTTTTCATGGGTGATAGCAATACCAGAGAATCCAGAGCAACCGACGGCCAATAAGATCTGCCGATATTGTTTGGCCGAACCCATAAGAGAGCTTCGTACAGTAATCACATTTTCAGCAGTGTTCACATAAGACTGTATCAGCATTTTTAGACAGCATGTCACCCAAAACAAAATATCGGCCAGGGCTGGAGACTAAAGGCTGATTTGCTAAAAAGCCCAAAAATCTGTCTGAAATATCGGAAATCCACTATATTAGTCTATCTCTAACTTTATGTCCATATGAATTGAATGTATGTAGATTGCAATGAGTTATAAACTGACCAAACATTCTACAAAGGTCTTGCATAAAGCCACATGTTAACACATCAGTTATCACTTGTTCTCTAAAAAATCAAACTTTTCACACAAAGAAAAAGAAAGTGTCTTTCTAAGTATCACCATTTAAACGGACTATAACAGGACAAACATAGGACTAAACAATGGCTCTAATTGACTGGTAGTACAAGGGAGGAGAAAAAAGGAATATGTACTCTAAAGCCCAGGGACTACAGGTGGAAACTGGCACTGGTGCTATAACCTGGTACAATGCATCTCTCCTGTTAAGGTTAATGTATATTGTGCACTGTCCCTAGCCAGGTTGGCGCCACCTAGTGCCTCCGCTCAATTTTTATTTCTCTCCAGCGACTAGGTCAGGAATCGGACTACACTAGACGGTTTGCAAGAACCCCGGAAGTTGTAGACCGTGCACTGGCCAATCAACCAAGAGCAGTGAGGCCATGACGTCAAACTCAAGCACCTGTCTGGGTCCCTTTTGTGGTACAGCACAACAGTAAATAAAGCGGTCGAGATGGATGTAGATGAAGCCATACATTCTGTGTTGGTAACAATTCCCGAGATCGAGAATTTAAAGTCGGAACAAAGAGAATGTTTGATGAATTTTATCAAGGGGAAAGACGTTATTGCCCTTCTTCCTACGGGATTTGGCACATTACATATGTCAAAACTAAATAGCAGCAACTGGTTAAATAAAAAAACTTACCCGCCTACCGTTGAGCGAGTGAATCCTAATGCTGCAAGGTTAGATGGTTTCCATAAAGTGCAACCGGCTGATGAATCAGGCTACATCGTGCCTGTCTCATTAAATAAATACACTAAACTAACTAAACTAAACTAAGACCAGTACTCATGTGACAAGTCAATCTGATAAGGGCTATTCTCTCAGCAAGGGACTGTGAATATGAATAAAAAATTAAAATAAAAATTAAAAAATCAACAAAAAATTAAAGTTGACACAAAAATCATAAAATTGTCTCCAAATTGCCCAGTTCAGCCCAGGACTCACAGGCACAATCAGTCTCTGTCTCAAATGAACCATGAGACTTGTACCTCACAGTAAAAAGTTCCACTCTTGTACAGGCTGCATTCATCAGCTTGTGGACATTAGTCAGACTCAAGCACTTCCCATTTTTCATCTTATTTTGCTTCTTTTTAACAAATCAATTGTTCCCCACGCTTGCCAAAACTCACTGTATTTGATGAATCGCTTGTGAGAATATTCAATAGTCACAGTTAATAGCAGTGAAATAAAACCAGGCGAGCTTGATGGCTCACTTGTTCTGCCAAATAGTCTTGAGTAAAAATAAGATTGTAAAAAGATTGTACGAATAGCACCAATTCAGTTTCATGAATGGAAATTGTGTAAAAACTGCAATAAAAGGCGTACTCTTAAAGGTGCATTGTGTTACTTTTCAAGAGGTTGCTTAACATTTTAGGTATTTGTAACTTTTTGGTTGTGGGTCCGTCATCTGCTTTTTTTCTATGGATATATAATTTATCTGCATGGAATGTTCCACAGTATGACTTTAAACACCTCTACCTTACATTTGTTCAATATATACATCCTGAATTTCGGACTTCCAGTCATCGTGCAATGCATACTGGGAAGGATCCTCCAAAAAAGTGAGCATCAAACCTCCATGTTTGATTTCCCAGTGGGATGTGTCTATTGACAAAGCCGATCTTTTCAAGCCTTTTGAACCATATTGCTTTTGTTTCTGGATCTAATATTGTCATATTTTACTTACGGGATTCGGACATCATAATTGTGTGGTTGCTGGATTTCCTAACAGTGGAAAACGGGCTTTGGAAGTTGCGAACTCCATAACTGCAAAAGGGAATCAGATCTGTGTGACTGCAAATCTCCATTCAAACTGTTTCCTTTCCCAACAGAATTGAAAAATAGAGAAAGGCGAAGGCGATGGGCAGTATTGACACACAAGAAGGACTAAAAAGGTAACCTTTGGCTGCCTAAGAAATCATTCCAAGTTTGCGGAGAACATTTTATATGGAGCGTCATCAAAGCAAAATCCCTTTTGTTAAGTTAGAGGTGAAGAAGATGCTTTGCAGTGGAAGGTGTTTCTTGGTGAACAGCTGGTGCCTTTCGCTTTGGTGTTGACTTTTTAAATTCGGTTTGATGCTCACTTTTTCAAAGGATCTTTCCCAGTATGCATTGCGCGACGATGACCAGAAGTCTGAAATTCGGGATGCATGCATTGCAGATGGTTTTACAGCTCAAAAATACCTTGAAAACCAGACATTCTGACCGTGATATGGCTCATATCTGGATGACTGAGGGATTACACAGATATTAAATCAGACTTCTCATCAGATATCAAAGTGCAGTTCTGGTACCAATATCAAAAAACAGGTGTGTAGGCATCAAAAAATCCAACTTTACCCAGTCCTATTTACAGCATTGTTTTAGTACCCATATTAAACCATTTACTACACTTCACACTACATCAAAATGGCAATGACATTTTAAAAATCCACTGTTTCTCTTTCAAACATGACCTTATAAGCCTGAAGAAGGATTTGCCATTATCACTTCTTGAGGGAGAAAATTAAAGTAGCTAAGTTATTGTTCAAAGAAAGTTCAAGTTTTAATAGGATAATTCTCAGTGTCATGGTTCAGAGCTGCAGAATGCAAACGAAGCCAGGCTGGAGGGCGTTCACTTTCTTTCTTCTTTCACACAAATTTAATATAAAAAGTTCAAATTTTCCGAGACTGAAAAGGGTTGGAAAGATTGAACTGGGGATTTCTCATTAGGATCAGACTGCCCCAA